GCTGAGGAAGCTGCTTCTCAGGGACTCTGACCAAAGTTGGCTTCTTTCCTCCTAACAGAGTATTGGCCTTTTTTTTTATTCCATTAAAAAGATCATTTGGCTTACTTGGATTTCATTATGACAGTAGGTTTTTTTAAAACTTATAAATTGGCTATTGGTCAATTCCAAATTTGAAAACTGCAAAGCTTGCTTAGCCTCTAACCTTGAAGAACCTTGTGCCTACAATAGCTGAAGGCCGATAGGCTCCGCCAGTCACCAAGGCCAGAGCACCCAGCAGTATGTCCCCCCCACCCCCACCCCAGGCTGTAGGGCCAACACACTTTGTTGCTATTTCTTCTGTACTTAACCCTTTGTGAGCCCTGTTTGAGCAGATTTGGTGTGTGTGCCAGCGTGTGGACTTTATCTTTGTGTGATGATTCCCTAAGAGACAGGTAAAGTTACGTTGGCTATATTATCATTCTCGGCCATGTCCTTTTGCTTATACTCGTCCTCTGATTTCCGTAGTACCTCTAACTTATCAAAGCTTCCCTTAGTACGGTTACTAACAGACCTTTGGGCCCCGCTCTAATAGTCGCTTGGACCAGCTTTAAGCAAATCTTTTTAGACTGATCTCATTTGTTCAGAATCACTTCTCATCAGAGTCATTAAAAAACCTGTTTCGTCAAGTGCTTCACTTATATCAGTTTGAGTCTACATACAGACTTGGCAGGATTATAGCTCTACTAGTATTTCCTGTCACTCAGCAAGTCCCGCAGTCCTGTGCTTTTTACACAAAGCATATTTCTTCTTGGATTCACATGTGGCTTTCATTTCAGTTCCAGAATTGAACTTGATGTGCTTTTTCCTCTCTTTGGCCGTTGGTCTGTACAGAAGATAGACTTTTGGTTTCAAAAAGGATTTGTTCACCCTGTTAGCTAAGACAGTGACTCAGTCACGGTGTCTCCTGTTGGCCCTACATTCGCTAAGTGGTTGGGTACTTTAAGGGCAGACAGTGCCCCAACCCATTCTCTCTCACGGGGCATGGTATGCCTTGAGTGTTTATAGCTATGTCTTTAGCTATAAACATAATAGCCAACGTTTACTGAGCACTTACTTTGTCCCAGGTACTTGCTTAGCTGTTTTACATTCATTAACTCATTTGATCTTTGTGAGATAGTAGGTCTTATTATTTTCCCCACTTTACAGATGAGAAAACAGGCCCCAGAAATGTTGAGTAACTTGTTTAAGGTAATAAACCCAAGTGGTCTGGCATGTAGGTTGGTGTCAAATGAAACTTTCTTGACTGTGGCGAACCCTTCGGCTCTGGCTTCTGTTGTGCCCAGACAGTAGGACATGGGTTGATCCTTTCTCATTAGCTTCCGGTCAGTGCTGGGTAAGACGTCTCCCTCGTTGGCTTTAGAGTCGGGCATGGGCTCCGACCGTTTCTTTCTGCCCTTGGTGGCCTGTTGCCGAAGTGGCACAGGTGGTGGAGACACGGTGGTGCTGCTCTCTGGCTTACCTCCCTGGTCTTGACTGTACCATACAAGAGCTGTGGGAAACTAAAAATTTCTTTAATCCTGGCTCTTCTCCTCTATTTCTTTTCATCTGGAATTTTAAGAACCCCTTGAGAAAAACGAGTCCTGAAACCTAAAATTGGTAACGAACAAGTCAGTCCCCGTTGAAGAGGACAGTTTGGATTCCTGGGTTTGACTGTCCTGCACTGTAGCACCGTGAATGCTGGGATTCCAGGGCTCTTTTTTGTAAGCACTTCCCCTTTCCCCACAAAAAAAGAAAAAAAGGAGAAAGCTTTTGTCTGTGTTTCTTAATTGGAGACGTTTTATCCTTAATGAAACTAACGTTCTCTCTTTACAACCCTCCATGTGCCCCTTACACAGGGAGGGGCCCAGAGCTACTTGCTTCTGCCCCTGACTGCCGCGGGCACTGAGCACCGAGCTGGCCGTGCCAGGCCTCCGTGTGCATCTGGGACCTGCCAGCTCCATCCCGGGAGCGGAACTCTGGCCATTTGCTGTGTCTTCTCCCGTCGCGTGTGTCACCTGCCACCGCTCCTGTTTGCATTTGTTCCATCTTTCTTGGGCTCCCTTCTCTCCTGAAGCCAGTCCCGCAGCTCTCGGGCGGTCCTCCGAGGCGTCCGTGCTGTTTCTGAGAGAGAGTGGTTGCTGTGTGCGCCTCTGCGCAGTTTCCGTTAACTGGAGTTTATGGTTTGATTTACTTGCTTGTCTCACCCTGGCAGTAGTGCCTTTTCTTTTATCCTGTTAGAAGTTTTCATTTTTATTCACAAAGTCCTAAAATTTCGAGCCCGTTTTCAGCTACAAGGATAAAGGGTTGAGCTGCTGCCCTTGGTGTAAGCATCGTTTATCCACTTACGCCCCTCTGCTGCCCTAGCAGAGAAAGAGAGGGAGTTGGACGGTCTGATTGTATTTGTGTTCCAGCCTGATTCATTTCTCCAGGATCACGGTGAGGTGCCATTTCTAAATTACTTAGAACCCATCTTTTTCTTACAGTGGAAAAACCAAGGTCCACATCAATTACTTTGACAAGCACAGCTTCCTCACGAGCGATTCTTCCCCTCCCCACTCCCCATCCTGCACATTTTTGTCTCAGCAGAGGTCGCTGCCGTGCACAGGTGTGCTTCAGGGATGCGGGCCGCTGCCTCCTTGGAGAGTGCACGCCGCGTTTCCTTGCTAATGAAAAGGCTGTCATAATCGGTTAGGTCCACAGGGGCTCTGCCCTTCTGTCCTGGTGTCCCAGGGAGAAAACTCTACCTTAATTACCACCTCACGCTGGCAGAGAGGTGTGGCTGCTAATTGATTAGATGTGACAGTCCTTTGCATTGGTGTGGAACTGTTGGGGTTGTTTTGTTTTTAAACAAACAGATTTGAGCCAGGTAAATTTATTTTGGAGAGATGAAGATCTCTATAAGGATTTTCATTTATTAGTCTCATGTCTTTAATGCAGGGGTCCTCAAACTATGGCCCGCGGCCCACATGCAAATACAAATTTGTTCCCGTTTTGTTTTTTTACTTCAAAATAAGATATGTGCAGTGTGCATAGGAATTTGTTCATAGTTTTTTTTTAAACTGTAGTCCGGCCCTCCAACGGTCTGCGGGACAGTGAACTGGCCCCCTGTTTAAAAAGTTTGAGGACCCCTGCTTTAATGCCATTTCTATATCCTTCTTTTATTTTACTTTATTTTTTTGTTAATTCTCACCGAGGACATTTTTTCCATTGATTTAAAAATTTTTTTTTTTTTTAGAGAGGGGTGGGGAGGGAGCAAGAGAAAAAGAGGGAGAGAAACATTGATGTGAGAGACACACATTTATCTCCCATATGCGCACTGACTGGGGCTGGGGATTGAACCTGCAACCCAGATACGTGCCCTTGACAGAATCAAGCCCTCGACACTTTAGTGCATGGTCCAGGGCTCCAACCACTGAGCACACTGGCCAGGGTTCTGTGTCTTTATTTTCTAACTTGGTAGTAAGAGGCACTCGGTTAGCTTTTGGTGCCATTTTGGTGCAGGTGATGACTAACACGGCGTTATTCTCCTCCCTGGCACCCCTGGCGTGCTCCCTTTCTGTCCGGCAGCACCCGATTCTTTTATGTGGTTCGTTTCCATTCCCTCCTCTCTGTCGTGGAATGGTTGCACTCTATTTGGAAATATATTTTTCAGATAGTGTTTAAAAGCAAACACCCTGCCTTTCTTAAAACTACAGAAACTGCTTGTGAAACAGCCGATAGGGCAAGCTGCCAAAGCCACAGTGTTAAGACCAATCCTCAGTGACAAAATGTCAGACACTGATGCTACACCTTCATTGTGATTGGGGCGTGAGAATTTTTCTCAATAATAGATGTCTAGGTGCCGAGCTCCAGTTGCACATTCAGAATCCTTACATTATGGAATTCTTCATGGTAAACCCGTTCCACAGAGTCTTGTGAAGCTACTCTGCTGTCGACTGTACAGGAAAGATTTTAAACAAACCAATCCCCAGTCCCCCATATCCACTTAAAACATTTTTTTTCAGGAAGCGGTTTCTTTTTGAGGTGATATTTGGACCACATCTCTCACCAGCTTTTCCCATTTTTAAGATAGGTCCAGCTTCAGAATTTTTTTTTTCCTCTTAATGGAGGACACTTGAGCCTCAATCACTGGGCTCTGAATTAACTGACTTTTTTTCTTTTAAGATGGCATAGAATCTTCTGTCTGGGGAATTTTATGTCTTCCCAAGCACTTTCAGGAATTCGTACTAGTAGTTGTTCCTCCCTGCTGCCAGCTGTTGCTCCCTACCACCTTCCAGAAGAGTTCTGACACTGCTGGTAGCCTGATGGGTAAGGGCACAGTTTAAAACCTGGCTTACAGGCCTCCGTGTGCATGAGCTACAGCACTGATTGGAAGGGAATTAGGAAGGGGACCAGGTTGACAGCATACAATTGGGAAATAAAAGGAAAACTACATAACTGTGCCTCCCTAGTCACAGCCCGCGCTGAGATATGGTGGTCCTGGGTGCAAAGCTTCAAGAATTCCTTCCAGCCCAGGGTGGTGTGGCTCAATGGTTATAGTGGCAAACCTTGTACCGAAGGGCCTCGGGTTCAATTCCCGGTCAAGGGCATGTACCTGGGTTGTAGGTTTGATCCCCGGCCCTGGTCGGGGCACATGTGGGAGGCAACCAATTGATGTATCTCTCCCACATCAATGTTTTTCTCCCCCAACCCCCAACTCTCTAAAAGTCAATGGAAAAAATGTCCTTGCGTGAGGATTAACAACAACAAAAATTCCTTCCAGCTCTTCCCCTCTCGTGTTCTGTTGCTAGGGGCTTTTTCTGACTTTATTTCCAGAACCTAAGTCCTGAGCAACTTTTTTTTTTTTTAATAAACTTTTTTTTTAAAAATATAGTTTATTGATTTTTTACAGAGAGGAAGGGAGAGGGATAGAGAGTTAGAAACATCGATGAGAGAGAAACATAGATCAGCTGCCTCCTGCACACTCCCCACTGGGGATGTGCCCGCAACCAAGGTACATGCCCCCTTGACCAGAATCGAACCTGGGACCCTTGAGTCCGCAGGCCGATGCTCTATCCATTGAGCCAAACCGGTTAGGGCCTGAGCAACTTTTTGACTGTGTTTAGGCTCTTCCCATGTCACCTTGGCTTGCATATTGGGCTCATCCCTAGTTTCCAGATTGGGGTGAGATAAGGAGAGCTAAGTGCTTGCTTCTTCAGTGAGTCTCCTTGGGTTAGCTCTCCCATGTCAGCACGGCACAGCTCTCACCAGGTCGACTCAGCGGGCGAGCAGCCCCATTCCTGAAGCCCCAGGGTTTAGTCCGCCTGGCCCCGCTCAGGTCCTAGCGAGAAGTGAGACTGGGGTCTTCAGACCTCTCGGCCGAAGCATGGCTCCTCTGAGAAATAACAAGCCACAGCCTTTTAGCAAGTTGGGCGGAATAGGCAGACGGTAACTTTAGTTCCTGGATTTGGTCCCATGTCGGACTGTGTGATTTGTGCTCATATCTCCTACTAGCAAATCAACTCTTTTGAAGGCTGGACTGTATTTTATCCGTCTCTGCGTCCCTTCCTTCCCCTGAGTCTTCAGAGTGCTTTGTGTGTGGTCATCTTCCAGTTATTTGTGACATAAGCTAAATTGTAACACGGGCATTGTTCTCCACTTGTAAGCACACTTGGGGAAGTGTGTCCGTATTGATTTGTATCTACTCAGTTTTTGGTCATGTAAGTCACAGTGTCTTAATAGGTACATTAGTGACTTTTTCAGGATGAGGGGGGACGTTTACGCCATCACTGGGTTAAGAACTCAGAGGAGATTGCAGGACTGAGAAAACCTTGTCCGGCCTTTAGAAGTAGGAACCAGAGCCAGGAAGCCAAGCCCACCTGGTTTTGCCGAGTTCTCTTCTTGCCTTGACCCACAGCACCTCTGGCTTCTGGTTAACTTGGCCTCAAACTGCCCCCTTTTACGATGGGTGAATTAGAAGTTCACTGAGGGGTGGAATTGTGTCGGGATTGGAGAGATCATGTGGTGTATCCGAGGCTGGAGTTGTTCACAGCGGGAGGAAAGCTCCGGAGATCGGACAGGAAACAGCACAGCCCCAGCGCCTGCTGCTGTGAGGACCCAGGTTTGTCTTGAGTGTCTCAGGGGAGATCATTTGCTTTTCTGAATTGACCCACAGTTGTGAGTAGATCAGGGACCACGTTTGTGAACAGGGCAAGAGCGAGAACGAGAACCATTTTCTTCTTCCTGGTTCCCTGTCTTTGTGACTCAGGGTGTGAAAGCCCCACCTGACTTTTGACGCTCCTGTTTTTGAGCTGGCGCAGGAGGCCTGGCCGTGTCGGGTGGTGGAAGAGGACCTGTTGGACTGGTCTGCTTGGACCCGCCCGCCCCCCCTGGGCAGGGAGACTGAAACTGCTGCTGCTGGGCTTTGCCAAGTCAGTTTCTCCTCCTGGATCACCTCCCCGCGGTGGGCAGGCCTGCTCCCACCCAGGAGCCCTTGGAGGAGGCGAGCTGCGGGAGCCACGCTCCAGGTGCGGCAGGTGCGAGATGTGCCCAGACCCTCGCTGCGCCTACTCAGAGCGGCTCAGACCGCAGAGCCTTGGGGCTCCTGGAAATAGACTGTGTCATAGCGCCTTTCCCTGGCCTGTGGCCACATTCATGGTATGCAGAGAGCAGAGAGCGGGGAAGGGTGAGGAGCTGTAAATTGTGCGTAAATGAAGCCTGGGCAGGGACAGGGGCACACTAGGTTTGGGACTTCATGCTGCCCAGTCTGGAGTAGCCTGTAGGTTAATTTCCAGCCCTAGGCGGGAGAAAGTTCCCAGGGTGAGCCTGGTGTCCAAGGCCTGTTAGATGAGGTGACACTATGGGGCCAGACTTTTTGGCAGGTTGAACTGTTATAAACCAAGGTCAGGATGTGGTCTTCAGGACGTGCAGTCTGTGCCCACTTCCTGCTCCGGTCTCAGGGACACACAGGCCTGGAAGTCTTGTGAGTACAGAGGCACCGAGAGCCCTCACGCCCACATGGGACAGACCCTCAGAGCTCATCTCCAGCCCCTCATTTTGCAAGTGGAGACACAGGTCCCAAGAGGGCGAGTGGCTCGCTCAAGGTTATGTAACTTGTTTGGGCGGAGCTGGGTCTAGAGTTGCACTCCCTTGGGGACCTTGGCACTGTCCCCCGATTGCTTCCACTTCAAAGGCATTCCTGTTGCTTAGACAGGCTCTGTGGGGCCACCTGCAGGCCTCATGGCAGAAGCGGGGCGGTGCACGCAGGCCCCTGCTGACCCACGGAGAGGAGTCCCGAAAGCCTGCCCATGCCAGGAGCCCCCGGGAGCGGGTTTACGCAGTGCGCACTGCACCCTAGCAGTTGGAGGGTCACACGGAAGGAGTTGTGCTATTAGGTGAGGAGTCCCTCTGAAAAAGCAGGAAGACCCTGATCCTGACTTTCCTCATGAATTAGGAAAGCCTTTCTTCAAAGCCTGTTCGGTATCTGGCACTGAGGACACAGAGATGACTTACTAGTAAGTCCTAGCTAGAAGTTTCCCTTAGGCTGCTCTCAGTTGTGTGTAATGGTGAACAAGACAGTCACCAAGAGCTGTGGAGACAGGCCACTCAGCAAGCAGTGAAGTCCTACCTAGTGTGGGAAGGGCTGACCTGCAGGTACCTGGGGACACACTGAGGGGCCCTGTGAAGTCAGGGATGGAGCAGGGAAGGCTTCCTGCAGGAAGTGGTATCTGAGCTGAGGCCAGCCAGGAAGAAGAGTGTGAGCAGATTTGGGAGGGAAAGTGTTCGGGGTGGGGGTGGGGTGAGAGGCTGTATAGCAAAGGCCTGGAGCTCTGAGAACTTTGTGCATTTGAAGACCAGTGGTGGGAGCCCAGAGTGAGATTCTGGGAAGGGGCCAGGGTGAGGCTGGAGCTGCAGGCCGGGAACAGGAGTCATGTGGGTCTGAAAATTAGTTTTACATGTCTGCGTATATACACACACATAGAGATGTACATACACATATGTACATATACGCACACGGATATGTAAATCGTGTGTGTGTGCGCGCGCGTGCGCACACACACACACACACACACACACACACACACGTTGAAGTGGTGCTGTGAATATAAAGCCATCACTTCCTGTCCCAGTGCTGGGTGCCCTGCTGAGATGACTGTTGGTGTCTCCCCCACCCCCAAACCATGTGGTGTAGAGAAGGGACCGGCTGTGGGTGGGGTGGAGAGTAGGCTGTTTAGGTGTCTGTCCTGGCAGGAGGACTGGCTTTAGCTTTGGAGCAGGGCTGGCTGAGGACCCTGTGGGACTCCTTTAGGCCCAGGGTCTGCACCAGTTTCCTTCTTTTCATTGGGGGTGGTGGTGACGGCTCATATCCCAGTGCTGCCACCGGGGTTCTGCAGGCTTTTCAGAGGCAGCCCATGGAGGCCCATGGTAGCACCTGGTGAGAAAGAGGAAGCACCTGGTGGCATCCCGCCTGCCTCTCCTGACAGACATTTCTCTCGCTCAACAGCACCTCTCTGTGGCAGCCTCCGGCTCTGCGCTGACAGAGGTGCTCCCCTCCCCGTGGGAGGCGCCATCAGCTGTGGCTTCTGCTCTGCCCTTGGTCACTGACTCGACTGCACAACACAGCCAGTGAGAGTCCCCCTTCCCTCCTGTGCTTGAGAGGCAGCCCTTAACTAGAGGTTTGTAGAAATGACCCAGCTCCAAACTGCAGGGTTCAGGGCCCAGCGGCAAAGCGTGCCTCGGTGTATGGGCGGCGTTTCACTTCTGACTGTATGCAGATGTTGTCCTGTAGGCAGCTGGGCTGTCCCCTCTCCTGCCAGCGAGTGAGCCTTGTTCCCATGCTGGCCCGGCTTTTACTGTTTCCCTCCTGCCTCTCCCCAGAGACCATGAAGCTGCCCACCTCCTGTTATGTTCCAGCTCTGATAGGAGAGCCATTGGAAGTTCTTGGCTGGAGACCAGCCCCCTGCCACCGGTTGGCTCCCCTGCTTTCCCAGCGTGTGTGATGTGCACATTCCCCAGAGTTCGTATGCAGCTGGTTGGCTCTGTGGTGCCCAGAGATTGGAGCTCTCCTGAAAGGGGAACCCAGCTGCTGTCCTCCCTGGTTTTAGGGGCGGGGTTTGAAAATAGAGAATCATAATCTCCCTCCTCCTCCTCCTCTCCCTCCCCCTCCTCACCCCTGCAACACTGCCGGCAAACTGGAGTGACTGGCTCTGGAGCCGGACTCAGGGACTCAGCCCGCCTCACTGCTCTGCATGGCAGCAGCGATCTGGAGGAAGATTAATGGGCTTGTGAGTATGTGAACAGGGAGTACATTGCGCCTCGGCCTGCAATTCCGTGGCAGGTGTGGACTTACTCTGGTGTAGGGAGACCAGGGCTCTGTAGGGGAGGTGGTGACCCAGCCAGGTATGTGTGTGCCTAAGCCACCTTGTTCTTTAAGACTTGGACGGAAAGCACTTCTAAATACGCCTGCCCTTCAGAGGCGCTTGGTGGGTGGTCGGGCGTTTATTCTTGGAATCTCCTACAGCACAATGTCCCCTTTTTTCTAAGCCAGTCGCTTTCGTTTCTAAGCTGGACTTACTACCTTCAGTTTTCTTAGGAAGGTGAGGGAAGTGGTAGCTGCTCTGTTGTTAGAAAGGGGATGCTGGAGAGGGGAGCACAGGTGGCCAGCGGGTGGATCATGTTCCCCCGCTGGCTGGCTGGAGAAGGGACACCCTCACCCTGTTCTGCTGACCTCTTCGGCCAGCCCCGGGAACACCCACATGCAAACAGCCTCTTGCTGCTGAGGCTGGAGCGCCTACAGCACAGACCAGAGCAGAGCAGCCCAAGCTTGCTGCGAGGGGGGATTCGGAGTTCAGGGGCTGTGACGGGCGGTTTTGCAGAGCCAGGCCCAGCACCGCGGCCTGCTGGGGAGAGCCTAGCTGCCCGGAGCCACCGGCTCGGGTGCTGACCACCTTCCCCTGTTGCTGGGTCTCTCGCTAGTGCTGTCATTGTCAGATTGACCCTCTGGTTAGAGAGGACACCCTGACCTGGTCTCGGCTTGCTGCTGCCTGAGCACCTCTGCCCTAGAGCTGGACCCAGTTTTCTCCCAGGTCTGACTGAGGGGGGCAAGAAGTGGCCACAGGAAGTTCCGTTTTGGTGGTTGGACTTCTGACTGGGCATTTGGGCATCTGGGAGCCGAGTGCTTTTTTTATCCGAATACGCCCTGAACACTCCCTTCTTCAGCTCTCATCACATCCCGTGGTGGGCCAGGAAAGCTTTGCTTGGGCACTCATTTTTTTGGTTTGTGTTGCTCATCCCTGTATTCTCTCCCAGCCGCTAACAAACCCAAACCTTTCTTACAAAGAACATGGAAAAAGTTGAACAGCGCCTCAAGGTCACTGGATCATAAGTGGTATTTGGCATAGTTAGCTGGTTTGGTGTTTGGTGAGAGCTTTCTGCTTTATATTTGAGCAAAAGATTTCTTGGCGGAAGGCCTCTGTGCTGTGTTCCCAGTGCTTGCCCTGTGTACAGGGTTTGCCCCCTTCCCTCCCCTGACAGGTTGTTTTAATCCTCTTGCCTATAAACAAGTACAGCAGAACGTGTCAGGCCAGCTCACATGACCTTGGTTATCTCTTCATGGGGTAACCAGCATCAGCTGTAGATACACAGGCACTTGATGGGGTAGAGCTGTCAGGGTGAAGGGGAGATGCCAGGAGGAAGCCGGGGTCTGCCAAGGAAGGGGAGTGCTAGGGAGTGTGGTCCTCAGTGAGGACCAGGCAGGAAAAGTCAGCTGCCATTGACAGGAATGCGGAGACAGTTTCCTTCCCTGTTGCCTTTTGTCCCTGCATTTCGACTCCTGGCATCTCATTTCTCTTTCTCCTGTCTCTCACATCCTGTCTGGAGGGGCCGGGGCCGGGGCATGCAGCTGTTTCAGGAAACTGCCCCCGAGACAGATGCGTGTATGCCAGTTCATGGGATACAAAACCCAACACCAAAAATCCCACCTTCCCAAACGGTGTTCTTGTTGTGTTGCCTGGAGGACAGCTGGCGGTGGGAGCCTGGCTGCCATGGAAGAGTCTCCACCCAGAGACACTCGGGAGTTGGAAGTGGAGCTCAATTCTCACCCCACACACACACACACACACACACACACACACACACACACACGTTTCCCCCCCTCACAGCTGAAGAGGCAGTGCTCTTCAGCACATAACAATCGGGGTCTCTAGCCACACTGTGTGTGTGTGTTTCTTAAATGCGAGTCACATTTCCCACTGTGACACTGATTTGCAGTTTCTAGGTCCCTCTATCTAAAAACTCTTGTATGTCTCAAGAACTGTGTTGTGTACTCTGGATTTTCCTAGGGTGGGATGTGTATGTTTCAAGTGTTTTTATCGGGGGAGAGTAGAGTGGACTTTTATGGAGGGGATAAGACATGTTAGCTGCTGGAGACTTTTTCTGGTTCTGCAAGAAACCCAGGCTCAAGTACGAGCGGTGCGAATAGAACTTGGCCTTTGACCCTGGAGCTCTAGGCCAGTTCAAAAGGTCCATCTCTTTTTTTTTTTTAATATATTTTATTGATTTTTTTACAGAGAGGAAGGGAGAGGGATAGAGAGTTAGAAACATTGATGAGAGAGAAGCATCGATCAGTTGCCTCCTGCACACCCCCTACTGGGGATGTGCCTGCAACCAAGGTACATGCCCTTGACCGGAATCGAACCTGGGACTCTTCAGTCCCCAGACAGGCGCTCTATCCAGTGAGCCAAACGGCCAGGGCAGGTCCATCTCTTTTTACATGTATAGAGCATTTGTGGTGATCATTGGGTAAATAAGGGAAAGCCCAAAGCCTTTTTTTATAATCCACCTCCCTCCCCATATCTTTTTCTGGCACCCTACAGAGTAAGTTAGGAAAGCATCTGGAGTTATTACAATAATAGCCAGTATGTCATGAGCATTTAATATATGTCAGGCATTGTTCTGAGTGTTTTGGATGGTGTTGGATATACAGCAATTTCTGACTTTTAAAAATCTGTTTTCTCTTGATAGAGACCCCTTTATGTCTTGGGGTCTTTGTTGGTACGGACTAGACAGAACAACAGAATGGGTAGCAGTGGCTTCCTGCTGCCCAGTTAGAGTCTTCCAACCGGAGATGTCTGGGTGGTGTTTTTCTCTCCGTCTTCAGGTCTTTCTTTAGGCCACCATGCCTGTTGGCAAGTAGAGCTACCCTTCAGGATTTGTTGGGGAAGATCTGTGTTCCTTTTGTAGCCACCCTTTCTTCCCTGCCCTCTTTGGAGGTGAAGAGCTACAGACTTGGCTGCCTGCCTCCTTCAGAACAACCAGCCTGCTCTTGTCTGCAGTCGGTGTAATAGTGCATCTAACAATGCCCCAAAGTGGCCCTCTTCCCACCCCCACCATCTGTTCATTTGTGGTCCTAGTTCATGAGCTGATGTGTACAGAGCCCCACTCCCAGCTTCAGATCACAGAGGTCGGAATCCTCAGACCCTCCAGCCCACGCCTCCCTGATGCCTTGGCCAGGGTTCAGCTGGCCTTTTCCAGACACTCCCTTCTCCAAGAGACTTTCTTCCTAGGACTCTCCGAAAAGATGAATTAACGGTAAAACATGCTTTTTATTTATTTTTTAATATGTGTTTATTGATTTCAGAGAGGAATGGAGAGGGAAAGAGAGAAACAGAAACATCAATGATGAGAATCATTGATCGGCTGCCTCCTGCATGCCCCACACTGGGGATCGAGCCCACAACCTGGGCATGTGCTCAGAACAGGAATTGATCCGTGACTTCCTAGTTCACAGGTCGACCTTCAACCACTGAGCCACGCCGGCCAGGCTAAAAGGTGCTTTTTAAGAAGACACTTGTAATGGAAAATGGCTGTCATCTCTTTTACCATACTCTACTCCTAGGCCAAGTGCCTAGACAACTAGGGCACCCTGAAGTAGGACTGTCATTGTCACCAAAAATGAACAACGGTGTATGGCTTTGGGGGCAACCTAGGCCTAAAGCCAGAAGCCGACATGTACTCAGTCTGACTGAGAAGCTGTATTTTCCAGTCTTCTCTTCTGACCACTGATCTGCCCAGCTAGCCAAGGCACCTGCCCCTGTGGCCCCTTAGCAATAGGGTCCGGCAGTCTGCCCTTGGCCCAGAGTCAAGATCGCAGTAGCAGTGACGGGCCTGGTGAGGTGGATATGAGGCATGTCCCGGCTTTAGTTGCCAAGCAGGGAGACTGTTCTAAAGAGCATTTGCTCTTTGATGCGTCAGGGGACTGCCCCAGGCTCCCTTTCCTTCTCTCTCTGCTGGAAGTTCTTCCCGGCTCCTTGCTTAGCCCTTCTCTCCTGCAAGGCACTACCCACTCACGGTTCCTTTTCTCCAGCCTCATTCCTCATCTCCACCTGGTTCATATCTCCTTAGCCCAGTGGTTCCCAACCTTATTTTGGCCATGCCCCACCTAAGCATCTCTACCTGATGCCCCCCTGGGACGTATAATTCTCATTCAAAAAGTGAGCTATTCAAGTGGAGGAAGCCTAAAAGGCCATGAACTTGGTCTAAACAAGCTTCCAAAGAACATGGCATCCATGAGAGAGAAAAATAAAAGGACAAAAGGACAGTTGAAGTGCTGAGGAAGAAATCATCAAGAAATTGTTTTAAAAAATAATCATAATATGAAAAAAATAGAAAATAGTTTCAAAACATAATAGAGAACTGAAATGCATAAATATGTCACAATACATACTTATATAATATGTATGAGGCCTCTAGGACCATAAGAAATGCAAAAAGTTTACTGTTAATAACTCATTTTTGAATTGCCCCCCTTAAAAATCAAATTGCCCCCCTGTGGGGCGTGTGTCCCACGTTGGAAACCGCTGCCTTAGACCTTTTGCCCTGCTCAGCCACCCCAAATACTTCAGAGTAACCCTCTTTTACCTCAAGTCCTCTTGTTTCAAGCCGTCACCCAGGATTTGAAGTTTAGGGAGCCCCATTTCTGCTGCCCATGCTGCTTGCAGAACAGAAAAAGTTCCTAGGTTCCATGGGGAACACAGAACTCATTGCCCTGCTGTGGACTGTGGTTACGATCTTAAATATGGTTAATCAACTATTCAGCTACAATGGTGGGCCCTCACGGGCTGGCCTGAGGACACAGCCTCTGTTTCTGACACGTTTCTATGGGTCAGTAGTTCCTTCTCAGAGCAGAACTCTTGGCAAGCTGGGGATTTCTTTGGTACGCTGCAAGAGATTTGCATGTGCTTGTGGAAGTGTCCTCATTACTTTGTAGTCACAGCACCATCTATCACAAAAATGGTCCTGCTGTATGCAAATGACAATGACCAAAAGAAACACACACACCACTTCCTCCCCACAAAGCTTGCCAGAGAGCTGTACTCACTTCCCGTGGCTGCTCTGCTGGCCAGGTGAGAGTGAACTCTCCATTCTGACCGAGGCGACCCGTTGCAGGTAGCACTGGGCACCGGTGCCCTCGCCCGCCTGGTTTGTCATGTTCTGCGGCGGGAGGCAGCGAGCACCTCTGCCGGAGCAGGAGCAGGATGTGCGGAAAGACCAGCGTTGAGTTTCTGTTGGTCACAAGTGGAGCAGCCGCATTGTAGCCCAGCTAGGTGGGGACAGTCCCAGGCGAGAGTGCGGCGATGGCCTCAGGTGGTGTCTTTTCTTCTGCTTCAGCTCTGACCTCTGGCCATGGTGACTTCTGGGGCAGCAAACTTTGTCCCAGTGTTTTTCTGACTTTTCCTCCTCCTTGAACTCCCTCTTTGAAACTGGAGGAGGAGGACAGCAATATTTGTCCCACTTCCAGACGGAGATGCAGTGGGAAGGGGCACTTGCTTTATTCAGCACCTCGCAGTGTAGGAGGTGCCGGACTGGGTGGGACCCCGAAGGCCCTTGTCCCAGCGCGGGGCTGGGTCTGCTCCCGGCTCAGCATGAATGGTTTAGGAAACACATTGGAAAGGGCAGAGACAAAGGGTGAAATCGGCACCCGGGTAGCAAGGCTGTTGCATCAATGCTGAGAGTTTTTTGTGTGTTTTAAGATCTCGTGCTTCTCTTTTACTTTGTGTTGGCAAAAACCCTAGGAGAAGATGGGAGATTCTGGAGGAGATGATTATGCTGGGTGAGTCAACTGCGCTCCCCAGCTGCTGTTTTTAGTTCCTTTGCTTTTCTGTACTAGGAGGCAGTTTGAGGAGGGGGAGGGGCAGGGGGCAGGGTGTGGTTGCTGATTTGTGTAGCAGGACTCGGAGGCAGGTGTGTATAGGTGACATTTTTTGGCCATCTCGGGCCTTACAATCAGTACGTTGATTCAAGGAAGAAATTTTAAAGCAGAGTTCTCAGTGTGGCAAACAGTAAATAAATGTTTCCTCCAAGTCCCTGTTGCTTTCCCAAATCTGTACCTCTTAGAATGGCTCCAGCAGCACTGCCTTGTCACAGCAGGACACAGTGGTCCTGATAGCAAAGCCGTGGAAGGATTGAGTTAGAAGCAGAGAGAACTGTCTGAAGTGAGAGAGCCTGGTGGTGGTTGGGCAGCAGGAAGTTTGGAGGAGAGGGTTCCCCTCTGTGATGAAAGGAGGGTTTGGGCTTGGTTGAGGGGGGGCAGAGATTGGAGGAGGGGGGTGCTGCTGGTTCTGGGCTGTGCCTGTATCTGTATCTGAATCTGTCTCCAGATTGCCTTGAGCTTTGTGTTAGGAGGAAGCACAAGGCCTTATGCCCACCTGAGGAGGCTGTTGGCGGAACAGACACTCCATAGTTGTCATCTGTCCACGGGAGAGGGGATCGCGCACTCGCTGCCCCGTGGAAGCTGTCTGCAGAGTGCACTGGTGACGTCCTAACATGTTTTCTCACTCGTTTTTACACATTTGTTTGTGCAGTACCTTGCTGAATACTTCCGCCATGTGCTTAGGCGTTGTTGTGGGCCATGAGTTAGACAGACCAGGGCCCCTCCCTTTGTAGAATAGTATAGTGGGAAGGGCACACAGTAACCAAGCCGCTTCACAGGGCAGCCGATACCCTGAAAGAGGGGGAAGGGGTTTTGTGGCAAGAGGTTTTGATCTTCTTTTCTCTGCCCTTGTCTTTTCTCCTGGGGGACAGAGGGTAGGGTGACTTCAAGGCCAAAAAGCTACACCACTTTGATTTGGTAAGTATAGTCAAACCTCGGTTCTCAAATGTCTCCCATCTCGAACAATTCGCTTCTCAACCTGACAACCCTTTCATGAAAGCTATATGACCAGTCACAAGTCTCAGGCGACAGAGGATGCCCGAGTATGAGCCAGTTTACCACGGTTGACATCTCGGGATATTGTGCTGTGAATATTTTTGTGTGTGTGGTTGTTTTTTTTTTACTTTTGTAGCTGCTTATTATAATTATTGAATTTTCATTTTTATTGTACATTTCCTTTTGATTAAATTTTCTTTTATATTTCATGTCCTTTTTGTTTTTAAAGTGTTTATTTATAGATTAGACATGTACTATATATACAAAAGGTTAAAACAGGGAGTCATTTGGGGGTCTGGGACGAATTAATTCAATTTACATTATTTCTAATGGGAAAAAATGATTCGGTTTTTGAATAGCCTTCTGGAAATAATTAAATTTGAGAAACGAGGTTCCACTGTGTTTTAACATGGGCCAGCTCGGTGCAGGCACTGTTAGGCACTAAGCGCATACAGAAGTGGGCAAGACATTGTCTTGATCACTCAGAGCTCATGGAAACACAAAGTCAGAAGCAACAAACGGGTACAGATAGGATGGTGTGAGAGTCCAGAGCGGGAGAGATCACTCGCAACTGAGAAGGCATCTTGATAATTCTTTCAACAAAAGGGATGGAGAGGGCTGACTTACCTGGACCACTTAAAGGGAGGCATCATGTGGCAGCTGGCGCTGTGCTTTAGTGAGCAGCAGTGGCAGCTCTTCCCGCCATAGCTCAGATCCCTTTCCTACCTGCCCCGGGCCGGTAGCTGGGGCCCCACCACAGGGCGAACTCCAGAGGACGCCCTCCACTCCCACACTAGATGCAGGCAGGCAGTGTGCTAAAAACACGAATTACTTGCAAAGAAAAGGAAGTTCGAGGGAGGCCCAGGCACCTCAGCTGCACTGGTTAGTCTCCATGAGCTCCCCACAATCCTCTGTGGAATGAGCCAAACCTTTCTGCTGCAGGCTGCCTTCTGCCTCCCCCAGAGCCCGGGCTGCTGGCAGGCTGGCTCTCCTGTGATATGGAGGAACTTGTTGGTCTCCATGGTTACAGTAACCCACTGGTACGGGAGGAGCTGAATGGAGTGTGAGGCTGGCAATGTGAGCTTCCCCCAGCCCTTGGCACCATGTGGTACGGGTCTGTGGCTGTTTCTTGGGCCTTGTCTGGAAGGAGTTAAGGAACTGATGAGGAAGGGAAGAACAGGCACCCCTCCGTCCTCCTCTGGGCTATTCGGGGGCAGAGATGGGTGCCTTCTCGCTCACCCACTCGTCTTGGCAGGAGTGGTTTCATGTTAGGAAAGGGTCTTTACGTGACAGCCCAGCCGTGGTAGAATTATGACTTGATTCTAGAAGGAATACCAGCTTTGCTCCTCTGGTACTTGTAGTCAAGATCTTGGAGATTAAAGCTCTTCTTAGGGCTCAGAGAACCCCTTGAGATGAGAAGAACGGTCCTACCTGAAAGTAAAGAAATTGGGAAACATTATCGAGACCTTACCGTGTACCAGGCACCATGGCCCAGTCAGCACCATGTCCTAGCCGCACTGATCCTGTGAGTGTGGACAGCTAGTGGCCTCGTGTCCCAAGTGAGGACACAGACTAAGAGAAGGCAAATCATCTTGCTTGTCAGCTGGTAAGGACCAAAGGCAGGACTCCCTCCCACTCAAGTCTGTCTCTCTCCAGAGCCTCTCCTCCCATAATGCAGCAGGCAGAGAGGCTGCAGTGAGTCTAAGGTGCAGTCCCCTCCCTAAGTTCTAGAAGGCAGGAACCAGGTCTCTGAGCTTTGCAATGGCCCTGGCTCCAGAGGTAGGCACTCAGCAAAGGTTTGCTGAGGCAACAGCAGTAGTTGGGGAATGAGACAGCACTCCCTCGGTGGACTCCACCAGTGTTTCAAGCGACTCTGATGACAGGACGGTGAGGGGTGCTCATTGTGTTGTGGCTTCAGTGGACTAAGGGGGGTGAGCTGGAGGTGGCTCAGTCTGATCTCATGCCAGGTCAGCTCTTGCCTGCTGGACTTCCCAGGCAGGCCCTGGCTTCGGCTGTGGCTGCTTTGAGGCCCGCAGGCTGCTCCCCTCGTGGCCCAGGCTGCAGTGCTGGTCACCCTGGCTGGAGATGAGGCTTGCAGCCCAGGGCGTTAAAGATGCTGCCTTTGCTTCAGTTTCAGGCTCTGCTTGTGTCCTTTGTCAGGGAGGCACTACCCTGGCTGGAGAACGGAGTAGCCCTTTGACTGTTTGCCACAGCTTCACCTCCTCTCTGCAATGGGGTATTAAGGAAAGGGGGTCCCCCAGGTGCAGCCATCACAGTTAGCTTCAGGGGTGTGGGAGTTGCATCCAGCTTCCCCACTGGTCAGTGCTTACCACAGCTTTACAAGATCTCCTACCCAGAATGCTCCACTGGTTTATTACCTCCTGGCAGTTGAGAGTGACAGTTATTCAGGATCAAAGGATGCAAAGAAAGCGCTTGGATGCAGTGAAGGAGGAAGGGTTAGAGAGCTAGTGACTTGCCAGGGCCATGTGACTTTGCAGCTTAGTCCTACCCCGTCTGTCCCAGCCTGAGGTCAGTGCTTGGTACTTCCTCAGTACAGAAAGCCCCTTCCTGCCCTGCAAATAGGACTGAGGAAACCTCCTTCCAGTCGCTTCTGAGTAAGGGGCAGGTGGTCCCAGGCCAGCCTGAGCCCACGGTCCAGGTCAGGGCCCACTTTGGAAAGGAGTGGTCCACTTAGGGGACCGCCTGGGAGGCCTTTCAAACAGCCCTCCACTGCTGACCTTTCCAGGCAGGGGCCTTCCTGTGGTCCCAGCACCTTCCCTGCATCTTCCCTCTTCACCTCTCTGGTCTGGAGGAAGAGCCAGGGACTTACCTTTTGGGGGAAGTAAAAGCAGATTAGGCATCAAGAAGGGTTGATGGCTGGTAGAGGGGACAGCAGAGCACTCAAGTGGGCACAAAAGCCCTGGGCTCAGTCCCAGCTCTGCCTGGGCAAGTCTCTTCACTCCTGTGCTTCAGTGTCTCATCTGTAAAGTGCGGGCCCTGCCTACCCCGTCGGCCTCTGGTGTGAACACAAGCAGTGCTTGCTGGCAGACGTTGCTATCAGAAATGCCTGATCTCATGTGTAAGACAAACGCCGAAGTAGCGTGATCTTCAGGTGTCTGTGCTCAGGTGTGGGAGGGCACCGAGGGGATTATGGCCGACCAGCATGGGGTCTTTAGGGTGTTGCTTCATGGGAAGGGTCCTAGCCTAGGGTAGTGGAATGAACGGGAAGTAGATGGCGAGCCAGAAGAAAGGCCAGGATCAGAACACAGAGCACAGACAAGGTCAACGGGGGCTTTGCAGGAGGAAGGTGTGAGGAAGGGCTGCCCCCAGGCCCTAGGACAGTGATGGCGAACCTGTGACACGCGGGTCAGAGGTGACACGCAAACTCATTTTTTTGGTTGATTTTTCTTTGTTAAATGGCATTTAAATATATAAAATAAATATCAAAAATATGTCTTTGTTTTACTATGGTTACAAATATCAAAAAATTTCTATATGTGACACGGAGAGAGTTAAGTTAGGGTTTTTCAAAATGCTGACACGCAGAGCTCAAAAGGTTCACCATCACTGCCCTTGGAGCTTGTAGAGAGCAGCCTTGTTGTGTGTGTGTGTGTGCACGCGCGCGTGCAAGGGGGCAGGAGATGGGGGGCTGGAGGTTGGTGGGAACTTAGGGATAGATTCCCAGAAACAGGGTTGGAAGGGACTTAGAGGGACATTTCATTCTTCAGCCTTTGGGTAAAATTTAGAACCCAAAGACCTCTAAAGGGCTTCACTGGATCCCTGGACCCCCTGAAATTTGTCCAAGATATTTTGCGTGTAAGTCACATGGACTTTTCTAAGGCTAAACACTGCTTTTTGTGGACTAAGGGTCCATCTGCCACTGCTGGATAGCTGGACTCTGCCACCTGTCCCCCAGCCTTGTTCTTGGTGGGTGGTTTGCTGGTCTTGCCCCCTCTGGGTCAGCATGTCTGATTCACATACTCCTCTCTACCCTGCCTCCGACTTCAGCCCTTTCCCAGGTCCCACCTGCCGCAGGTGAGATAAGGACTTTATGACAGCCCTGGCTCGAGTGAGTCTCCTCCTCACCCTCTCCCAGCTGTTACCCAGCAAAGCACCTTGGGGAGGGTGGGGCAGCCACTTCCGGTGAGGGGGAGGGGAAGGGAGAAGGAAGTTGATCTAAACCCGCCTCTTTCTCTCTTAGTCTCCCTCCTTCCTGGTCCCCTCCTGCCCCTTTCCTCCCACCTTGCTCCTGGTGTCGTGTCCTGAGCTGTCTGTATTTCCTGGCTACGAGGGCCTGGCCCACAAGAAGCCGCCGGCTCGTCCCCGCTGCTCTCCTTGCCAAGCCCGGGCTCTCTGCTAGTGGTAGTTTCGGTTGCGACATAGTCCAGGTTCCCAGGCAGGAGCCGCTGGGCCTGGCTGCTTTGCTGCTTTTCACTGAGGAGGTGGTGGAAGGTGTCGCCTGCTTCGGCTGAGTAAGGGTGGCTGGCGGAGCGCCCCCGCCCTGGGCCTGGCTCTTCCCGGCCTCTGTACTTTGCCCTCGCTGCCTGACAGGTTCTGCTGTGGCTCTGCTGGATGGAAGTTGCTGGTAGTCCTTGTCGCTTTCTCCAGCCGGGTATGTTTTCCTCTTTTTTTTTTTTTTTTCCTCTGGGGTTGCCCTTTCCTCCTCTTTGCCTCCCACCCAAACACGGGCTCTTTGAAGAACTGCTGGCACTGCAGTGAGATTCATGGGAAGGTGAAGAGGCATTGGCCAGGAAAGGAAGAGCACCCACCAACAGAAGAGTCTCCCCTACGATCGAGTCCGCAGACTCGGCCGGAGTGAGCGGTAGGGGTGGTGGGGCAGAGGCCCAGGGCGGGCTCCCGGGCACGACAGTGAGGGAGACTGCATCCGGGTGGTCGCCCAGGGCTAGTGCCAAGGGACACTTTCTCCCTCCACTCCACAGTGCCCGGCTTGCTCTGTCCTGGCCAGGGAGTGCCTGCTTGTCACCCTCCCAGCTCGGTCCCTTCCCGGAAGCCTCGGGACACTTGAATGCAGAGCCCAGAGCGGAGCTTTCCTGGGGAAGAACTGGTGGTAGGAGCCTCCAGCCTCAGGGAAGGGGCCCTGCCTACCTGAGTCAGCGCCCGGCCTCGGGTGGAGGCTGTCTTCCGGGCCAGCCGGTGCCGCCTAGGCCAGGCTGGGATCCCAGGCGGAAGGCCCACTGAATGGAAGGCTCTTTTCCTTTCGTCCCCACATCCTGTGTTCTCTTCTCCTCTCTGTGGAGGACGCTGCAGCTGTTGAGGCCCTACTTCTGCGCCAGGCCTGCTTGGTAACCGGCGTGGTCTGCCATTTGGTTCCAAGGACGGCTCGAAGGGTGACTCCCTTGTTCTGTCTGAAGGCTGTCTGAGCGCCATGGGGTCTGCTTTCAACCAGCTTCCTCAGACCACGGGAGCTGCCTGGGCTGTGCGTCAGCCAAAGCTTTAGGAATGTCTGGTGCCCCTGGTCTTCCTGTGGGCAAGAGGCTAGAGGGAGAGGGGAGAGCATGGCTGTAGCCAGACCCTATTTGGTTGGCCCGCAAGGGCCACCAGTCCTCAGCCCTCCACCGGTTGGTGAGATGTGGGTCCAGGCGGATGGGCCAAGACAGAAGTAGGGAAGGGACTCTCTTACCTCTTCTCTGGCCTCCTGGAAGCCTCTTCACTGGGGGCCTGGGTCCAAGAAACAGTTTTCTACTGGAGAGTTCTCGTTTCTGTACTTTCCCCAGTGGGCTCTCCTCACCCGGTTCCACTTCCCTGCTCTGGGGGACATATTACAACTTAGAAGAGGCCAAGAGGTTAGGACAGTGGTTGGCAAACTCGTTAGTCAATAGAGCCAAATATCAACAGTACAACAGTACAACGATTGAAATTTCTTTTGAGAGCCAAATTTTTTAAACTTAAACTATATAGGTAGGTACGTTGTTATGAACTTAATTAGGGTCTTCCTAAGCCAGCCTTTGCTAAAAACGTCCTCCATCTGATTGAGGTACGTTCGCCAAGGTTAACCCCTTCCAACTCTCCCATCCACACTCGTCTTGTATACTTGTTTCGTCCATCTCCTTTCCGAAAACCGACTTCTGCGCATGGCCACAAAGTTTCAGTCGCACTGTACGTGCGCGCCCGCACGTGGTATTTTGTGGAAGAGCCACACTCAAGGGGCCCAAGAGCCGCATGTGGCTCACGAGCCGCAGTTTGCCGACCACTGGGTTAGGAGAAGAACTACACACTGAGTCCTGAGAGTTGGGTGGTTCAATCCTGAAAGGGGAGCGGGTGACTTTGGGGGCAGGGGATCAACGAGCACACACCAGTGCTCTCTGCTCCTCTGGGCCCTAGACAAGCAGAATCTCCACTCTTTTACTGTCCTGGATACTCAGCGTGGAGCCAGCCCTTCCCAGCTGCCCTGTCCAGTCTCTCCTGCGAAGAGTAGGGGTGCTGGTGTCAGCCGGCAACAGGAGTCAGGGTGGGTGGTGGCCAGCGCTCAGCCATGACCTCTTTCCAGCGGGGAGGACCATAGCGTCTCTTTCCAGCCTCCATCTGGGCTGCAGCCAGCTCAGGAGACTCGACTTAGATGCCAAGTCTTGTTGACAAGAAGACTCTGGTTTTAAGAACAGTGGTATTTGGGAACTAAAAATAATGGCAGTAATAGTTGCTCTTTCCTGATTGTTGGATAAAGCATTGTGTGTGTGTTCTCTTAGCTGCCCAGTGTGAAGTAGGGAATAGTGTATCCACTGTACGACACGGAAGCTGATGCAGTGGGTGGTGGGTGGAAGCAAGTGATGTTGGACAGAGCTCTGCGACATCAACCGGACTGTCTCCTGACACAGGTGTGGGGTCACCCCACACCACTCATCTTTGGATGCTTTCCTTCTCCCTTTGTGATAATCTTCTCCCTCTTAAGGATGGTGTTGATGATGATAAAGTCAGCCGGTGTTAGTAAGTGGCAGGTTTGGGATTTGAACCCTGGCAGTTTGTCTCTGGCCCTATACTCTTAAGCCCCTCTTGTAACTGTTGTTCCTTGAAGTCCATCCAGCATGCAGCTCATCGTGACAGGAAGTGCTGTCCTGCTATGCCATGCAGAGCAGCCCCCGGGGGTAGAAACACCAAGAGGTATGGGCAGAGCACAGACGGGCGGTACGGGTCCTTGATATTTGGCTCCCGAGGGGCAGAGGGCCCGAATTCTCAGGTAGATGCTAAATCCCTATTCCAAATTTTGAGGACCTGGAGACTGCCAGATCCTACCCTCAGAAAAGAGGGGCGTGATGAGAGTCAGGAGGTGAAGTAGAGGTTGCCAAGGAACTTGCCCACCCACCTTCTGCTCATGGGAGCTGGGACATAGGAAGGGCCCTGGTAGCAGTCTTGCAGCACCTGCAGGAAATGGGGCTGAGAAGCAGTGGGCCATGGAGGCCAGGCCTTCAGGACCCTGTTGAATGGGACCTGGTGTGCCCTTCAGTAGACAGAGCAAGTACCGTGGAGCCTCGACGTGTCCTTCTCTCCAAGGGGTGTAAACCTTAGAGTCCCTTTTGGAGGGAAAGAACAAGTATTTGAAAATCTACTGGCCTAGCAAATGCTGTTTGAGGACCAGCCAGGCTTATGTGAGCTGCATGATGTCTGGACACCAGAGGGCAAGAGAGCGCTGTGGGCTGGGGGACACAGCAAGGCTTGGGGGAGTTCGACTTGCAGAAGACAGAAGGTGCCCTGAAAGGCCCAGGAGCCTCTCCTTTCCGGCCTACTGTACACATGAAATCCTTTCTCCTCAAAGGTTCAACCCGAGCGTTGGCCTGCGGACTGAAGGGTCCTGGGTTGATTCCAGTCAAGGGCACATGCCCAGGTTGCAGGCTTGATCCCCAGGAGAAGGCCGATCCATGATTCTCTCTCATCATTGATGTTTCTGTCTCCCTCTCCCTCTCGCTTCCTCTCTGAAATCAATAAAAATACATTTTTTTAAAAGGTTCAACCCATGTGCTTCTGGGATCTGAGCCGAGCAGCTCACCCCAAACCAGCCAGCAGCTACTGCTATGCAGAGAGAAAGGAGAGCCTCCATTGACACAATGAAGAAGGGAAACATCGTAGCAGATACTTTGTGTTGTTTTTCTGAAAAGCATCTGGTTGGGGACGCTTGGGAACCCTGGACAGTTCCTTGGTGTAGCAAGTCCTGCCTCTCCTCTGTGGTTTGTGGGCTTGCTTCACTTACAGCCAGAAGGGGCTGTGAGAGGAAGAACTTTGACTCACTCCTCTGGTCACCCTGCTCCCCTCCAGACGATCTCCTTGAATTTCCCAAGGCAGCGTGGATGGTTCTGGGAGGAGGCCCTGGCAGTAGCTTTGTCCCATTTGCTGGATTGATGATGTCGTGTATTCTTTGAGAGATAAATCAGGACTCTAGACAAGACTCGGACCAGACTCTGAACAGTTTTACTGAGATATAATTCTCATACCATACAGGTCACCCATTAAAGTGGACTATTAAAAGAGCTATGCATCTATCACCACAACCTCCCCACCCTCTTCTGCCCTCAGCCCTCGACGAATCTGCTATCCGTCTCCACGGCTTTGCCTATCCTGAACTTTTCATAGAAGTGGAATCATACAATATGTGGGCCTTTATGACTGGCTTCGTTCACTCGGCGCCATGTTTTCGAAGTCCATTCGTGTTGTTGCATGTGTCAGAATACTTTTTTAAATTGCCAATGAATATTGCACGGTGTGGATATTGCACAGTTTATCTGTTCACCAGTTGATGCACACCTGTGTCATTTCCACTTTCTGGCTATTATGAATATGGGATGTTTTGAATGAACATGCATATAAAGTTTTTGTGTGGACATACATTTCCACTTCTCTTGGGTGTGTAGCTAAGAGTAGAATTGCTGTGTCGCAGTATTTCTGTGTTTAGTTAGCCCTTTGAGGAATGTACAGTCTTCGTATGTCTTCCTCTGGACCATACCTTTCTGAGTTGTGTTTCTACACCTGGTCAGTGCTGCTGTTATTTCTGCTTCCTCACCCTTATGTGAGCAGTGGGGTGGCTAAGAAGGGCAGACTGTTACCTTGCTCAGACCCTGCCATTCAGTTAATTCATTACACAGAATTCATTGAGCACCTACCATAACCCTGCCTGTCTAGTTGCTGGGCTGTAACAGTGCGTACACGAGTCTTCTTGAACTTCCACTCCATTGGGATAGACAGCAGATCACTGCAAAGTGAGAAAGAGGAAGGTTAATGTAAAGTGAGTGCACGGAAGTGGTTCTGCTGCTGCTGCTGCTCCTTGGAGATACAGCCTTCTCCCGGTGCGAGCAGGCACCAGGGCGCATGCGGGGAGCTGGCAGGGCAGTGTACTTACAGGGGTGCTGTCCCTCCCTGCAGCCCACCTTGGGACACCTCGACTCCAAGCCCAGCAGTAAGCCCAACATGCTGCGGGGCCGCAACTCAGCCACCTCTGCTGACGAGCAGCCCCACATCGGCAACTATCGACTCCTCAAGACCATTGGCAAGGGCAACTTCGCCAAGGTGAAGCTGGCTCGGCACATCCTGACCGGGAAAGAGGTGAGCGCTGGGGTGGGGAGCCTGGCAGCACCTCCCAACTGTTGGCACCCCATAGGTAGTGGTGGCTCTACTACCACAGCCATCCTCTTGTTTACTAGACAGAAATGTGATCTGAACAAACAGGAGTGCCAAGAGGGATGGGACAAAAAGGAGGTGGGAACAGGAAGGAGGAAGGCGCTTCGAGTCCTGGGTTTAGTTTGGTCAAAGAGGTAATCTTGGGCTTTTTGTCTCATGTTCAGGTGGCTGTGAAGATCATTGACAAGACTCAACTGAACTCCTCCAGCCTCCAGAAAGTAAGCAGACAGCCCTCCCTTTCTAACCTCTCGCCAGGGGCAGTGATCTACTGACCCCATTGGGATCTTCTCTTGAATCCCTAGTGTAAACTCTCTGGTCATCTCACTGTCCCTCTGCAGGACTGTGCTGCGTGTAGGGCTTTGGCTGATCCTCTGGGCTGACTCCTGACTGGGCTCCCTGGCCACAGGCGCTCTCTGTCAAGGCCTCTCTGGCCCCTCCCAGCCACTTGGCCTACCTATCTGACCTACTTCTGCACCTTGTTATCTGTTGGCCTTTGGCCAGCCCTATGCAAAACTCATGCTGTAGCCATCACTAGAAACGCATTCCAAGACCTGGGGTGATGAAGGTGGGTCACTCTGGAAGCACAGGGACAAGAGGAGACGGGAACCTGCCCTGGACTCTGTGCCAGCTGCGGGTTAGGGAGTGGGCACTGAAGACGGGCTTTAGAGTCAGCACTTGTTTCACACCTGTGGCAGGGAGTGCGGACGACGGCAGGCACTCCCCGCTCTCCTGCTCACCTCCAGGCTCCTCTTGGCTAAAAGTCGCAGGGTCATGTGCCGAGGCTGGCTTCTCCTTCCCTCCTGACTTACAGCGGGAAGCCATGGTCTCCTTTAGCTGGTGGGGGACCCTCCAGGTGGCCCCCCTGCTCGAGGAACAAGACGCTGGAGGAGGCAGGACAGGAGACTTTCGTTGGCAGAGGGGACAGCGTGCTAGTGACCGTTGACGTGGCGCTGGAAGCTGCCCTCTCCTTCCATCCTGGGCTCCGGGGGGCAGGCAGGAAGGAGAGGAGGAAGCCCCCCATCTGGCTCACAGAAAGCTGCCCCTTCAGGTCAAGTCAGGTCTCCTTTGTGTCTCATCCTCCGGCTGCCCCGGCTTCCGTTTCTGACCGGGAGTAGCCTAGTGCCTTCCACCTCGTGGCCACTGAGGCCTGTTGTAGAGATGCTCTCGGAACTGAGCGTGTGGGTTGAGGTGCCCTGACATGCTGACAGGCACAACCAAAGTGTTTTCCTTTTTTGTTGCCCGTGGGATCCCCTCAAGGTTCTTTGGTTCAAAGGAAACATTGTTGTCATCACGAGGGCTCCCCTGCTTGGAGCTTTGCAGAAGGAAGGGAAAGAGTCTTCTTCGCTTGTTGGCTCAGACCCCACAGAGTCGACGCCGGCGTGGTGGGGCCCTTTGGTCTCTGGAGCAGGCCAGCCTGCCGTCACTGTGATGGCCAGCGCCAGCGGGCATCTTACTTCCCACCTCTCTTCTCCCTGCCTCTTCCTGCCTGGCTGGAAGGCACCAGTACCAGACAGATGTAGCCATCTTAGAAGCCTTTTAACAGCTCTGTTACCAAGGCCAGTCTGATTCTGGCCAAATTACTCTGTTTAAATTTTATCCAGCAATGACTCTAAAGGACGATCATTGAAGAAGCTAGCCTCTCGGGGTTCCAGAAAGCCCAGAAAACTCCATGCTCTCCCAGGAGCGCCCTTCCAGGCCAGGGGCACCCTTGGGGGAAGGACCCTGGCAGCTGCCTGTGGGCCCCATTCAGTGCTGCTTCCCATCACTGCCCCTGAGGTAGGGTCCAGGATTTTTTGCTTCTTCACCCAAAACAGCAGCTGGACCAGGGAAGAAAGCAAGAGAAACCTGGGCTCTGACCAGAGAAGGGAGCCAGGGTCAGAACCAGGTCCTGAAGAAGGGGAAGCCTGCCTCGACTTCCCCTTTCCAGCTCATGAAGGTGCTGGGGTTTTGTGAAAGGAAAAATGTGTTCACTTTATTTCACAAACTAGACTCCAGCCCTCACCCACCCTCCACCCTAAGCAAACTAGTTTTGCTCTTTGTGCAAGTGGAGAGGCCTGGAAGTTACAGAAACCCCACCTCCAGTCCGCGGGCCCCCGTGAGGGGATGGAGTTCAGTGCTGTCATCTTTCTTTATGGAAATGTATGGTTTGGAGTCCCTGGTTTTGTTTCACAAAGAGAGCGTGAGTGTGTGGAGGTGGATTTGATTAAAATTGGCATCAGCTATATATAGGAGTGGCTCCTGTCCCCACCCCAGGGCCCCAGAGAGAGAGGCCTGCCCACTGGTGCAGGGCCCTCGGACTTCTGGAAATCAGATGACGGGCTCCCCTTCAGCACCCCCCTTCACACAGACCAAGCCGGAGTCTCTTTTGTCCTGAACTTTAGTTCTGAATATTCATGCACAGAGGTTCACGGTCCCTCCCTGAGAGGCACCCAACCGAAACCCTTCTGCTGTGCGGGGCAGGATCTGGGTGATGCAGCAGGGTGGCCAGCTGGCCCCAGTGCCGAAGCTCAGGGTACGAGCCGTCGGAGCCCAGCTTCCCTCCCGCTGACCCTTCCGCCCCTCACCTGTTCTCAGCCCTCAGGGCTGGGCACGGAAGGTGCAGACCATTGCCCTGTTTCTTTTCCTTGCCCGAATCTTTTTCTTTTTGGAAAAAGATTCCTAGCAGTGCCTCTGTTGGAGAGGCCTGGGGAGAGCCAGTGGTGCAAACATGACCCCTCTGTTTTACTTTTCAGCTGTTCCGGGAAGTAAGAATAATGAAGGTTTTGAATCATCCCAACATAGGTGAGAACCAGTTGCCGCTCCATTCTTTTCCCGCACATCAGGGCTCCGCTCCCTGGCGTATTGTCCTTCTCCCCTGGGCTCCGCCTTCTGGGGGCTGCAGTCCTCGGGGTGCCTCTGGGGAAGCCCAGCTCACAGTGCAGCTCTGCCTGAGCGCCGAGCTGTCCTTAGTAGCGTGGCTGCTTGAGAGGAACTTGTCCTTGGGAAGCAAGAGGGGGGGCGGGGGGGAGTCTTCATCCCTAGGATGCCCCCTGTACATGTTGGGGCTCAATGTGGCCCCTCCTACTTTTTTGACTCATGGCTTGGCCTTTTCTCTTGTAGTTAAATTATTTGAAGTGATTGAGACTGAAAAAACTCTCTACCTTGTCATGGAGTATGCCAGTGGAGGTAGGTATGGCACCGCCTCTCCTCTGTGCCCCACTGCCCGGCCCCAGCAAGCTCTGACCCAGCACTGTGCCCGTCTCTTGCAGGAGAGGTGTTTGATTACCTTGTGGCTCATGGCAGGATGAAAGAAAAAGAGGCTCGAGCCAAATTCCGCCAGGTGGGTGTGACTCCCTCCCGGAGTACGGGTCTGACCTTGGCCTTTTGGGGTCTGGCATACAGGGAGGGGCTGCCTGTCTGTAAGTGGCCTTTGAAGGGTCCTTCAGGCTTTGCTATCTGAGTGGCAGCTTAGAATGAGATCCCAAGGTCACAGCTGTGGCAGCTCTTGTGGCCTCCCCCAGGTGGCTCTGGACTAACCCTTCTTCCTTCCTTTCAGATAGTGTCTGCTGTGCAGTACTGCCACCAGAAGTTTATTGTTCACAGAGACTTAAAGGTAGGTGTGCTTGTCCTAGCCGGTTTGGCTCAGCGGATAGAGTGTCAGCCTGTGGACTGAAGGGTCCCAGGTTTGATTCTGGTCAAGGGCACATGCCCAAGTTACAGGCTCGATCCCCAGTTGGGGGCGTGCAGGAGGCAGCTGATCCATGATTCTCTCTCATCATTGATGTTTCTATCTCTCCTTCTTCCTTCCTCTCTGAAATAAATAAAAATATATTAAAAACATTTTTAAATAAAAGGTAGGCGTGCTCTTCCCCCTGCACCTTTGAGTGAGAGCAGGTTGTTCCCTTCCATTCACCATGACGTGACCATCAGGTCTGAGCATTCAAGGCAACACCAGCCTTTACTGCTTTGGAGATAATGAGGAAGCCCTGGTCTGCTTCTAATGTAGGCCTCAGACTAGACGCAGGATCCTGTTCCCGCAGTGGGCAGAGGCTCTGGGCCACCACCCTCCAGTGTTGCCAGGCAGGGGCACTCCAAACTCTGCTCGGCCGTCCGACGGCCCAGGGCTGACTGCAGGGAGAATGCTCACTGCGTTCACCCCGCCGCACAGCTGCTGTGCAGAGTGCATGTGCACGGAGAGGTTCGAATGTGAGGCAGACATGACCGTGGTTAACCTGCGCCTGACGGAAGCTTTCGCAGTCAGAGCGTCTCTGAGCCTTCAGATCCCAGCTCTCCCATGGCTGCCCATTGAGGAGTAGTCTGTGCTGCCCTCTTCCAGCCCCACCTGTTAAGCTGATGGAAGGCCTGCCTAGGGCTGGAGGAGAAGGTCCTAAGCCTGGAGAGGGCGTCCTGTTGGCTTTCCCATCCCCTCAGCTTCTTCCCAGTGCCTTCGTGGGTCCACTCGGGTCCCTGACGGTTTCCATCTTCCCTCTCAGGCAGAAAACCTGCTCCTGGATGCCGACATGAACATCAAGATCGCAGACTTTGGTTTCAGCAATGAGTTCACCTTTGGGAACAAGCTGGACACGTTCTGTGGGAGCCCCCCGTACGCGGCCCCAGAGCTCTTCCAGGGCAAGAAGTACGACGGGCCCGAGGTGGACGTGTGGAGCCTGGGCGTCATCCTGTACACACTGGTCAGCGGATCCCTGCCGTTTGATGGACAGAACCTCAAGGTGGAGTGAAGCGCAGGCTGAGATCATTGTTATTACTTCTCATTGCCTCTCGCAGCCTCCAGTCTTACCCCGACCTCTCCCCTTTGCCACCGCTCTACACCTCCCACGCCAGAGCCTCGGAGAAGGGCTTGCAGAGGTAGCAGCTGAAGGTCTGCACCAGGGCAGTCACCTGCCTCAGTCCTCCTCCAGGGATGGCACCAGTTGTGGGCACTCAGGACGCAGGCCTCGGGCTTGGGGGGCCTGTCCCTGCTCTCTGCCTCCTGCTGTGTTGCATTTCTAGCTGCCTGGCCAGCCTTAAGCTCTCAGGAGCCCGGATGCTAGGTTTCTTCCCTTGGCTTTGGGGTGATTTCCGTTTCCCTCCTGCAGGAACTGCGGGAGCGGGTACTGAGGGGAAAATACCGTATTCCGTTCTACATGTCCACAGACTGTGAAAACCTGCTTAAGAAATTTCTCATTCTCAATCCCAGCAAGAGAGGCACTTTAGAGGTGAGCAGCTGAGGGCCCCGCTGGCCGCCAGGTCCCGGGTTCCCAAGGAAACCTTCACACTGAGGCTCCTTCCCCTTCACTTTATCCCCCAGCAAATCATGAAAGATCGATGGATGAATGTGGGTCACGAAGATGATGAATTAAAGCCTTATGTGGAGCCGCTCCCTGACTACAAGGACCCCCGGCGGACAGGTGAGGCTCGGCTGGGCCGTGAGGTTGAGCCTGCCAAGGACTCGGGACCAGCCTTAACTGTGTACCCCCTGTGTAGAGCTGATGGTGTCCATGGGTTACACACGAGAAGAGATCCAGGACTCGCTGGTGGGCCAGCGGTACAACGAGGTGATGGCCACCTACCTGCTCCTCGGCTACAAGAGCTCGGAGGTGTGTGCCCTGCCCCTCCCCGGTGCCCGCTGGCCGTGGCACCCCCATGTTTCCATACCCCATTGAGGGCAGAAGCTTGTGTCTGAGTGGGTGTGCTGCCTCTGCTGATGAATTTGAAGCCTCAGCTTTGGTGGCCAGAGTCCGCTGGTCTTTGCTCTCGCTGACCTCCGTCAGTGAGGAGTAGGTAGCTGGTGGGGTCTGGGCTTCCATGTGGGCGAGCTGACCTGGTTAGACTGGGTCTCAGTCCCTCTGACTGGGTCAGTTCTGTGTTCCTCTAGAAATGTTGTTTCCACATATTTGTCTCTCTTTGTTTTGGGAATTGTGTATCTCTGGGTCTCTGCACGTAAGGGTCCCTGTGTTTTTCTTAGAAGAGTCTCGAGTCTGTGCTGCTTCTGCCTGGTGCTTGTTTCTGGATACGTGTAGCTGTGTGCATGTATGTCCATCCTCTCGTCTGTGCATCTGGGTCATCGTGTCTTATGTCGGAGTCCGTGGGGTCTGTGGGATGGGGGTCTTGGTCTCCATCTGTGTCCCCAGCTGCACTCATGGCCTCTCCCTCCTGCCCCCCCTGGTGGTGTTGGGCTCCCTCTCTTGGTTCTCCCCTTAGCCTGCCCAGGAGGTACACGAGAGGTCTGTGTCTGGACCTGCGTTCCTGTGGGCGTGTGTATCCCTCCGTGAGGTGGGGGCCTTTGTGGGAGGTGGGGTCGTGTCCGTCTGTGTCTGTTGGGGTCTGTGTCGGGCACCTGTTTCCACAAGTGTCCGGTTGCACATTGGCCTTGCAGGGCCTGGTCATAGGAGCACCGGTGGCTTTGTGGATCTCTGCCTGACTTCTGCCCTCCCTTTTCTGTTCTTGCAGCAGGAAGGCGATGCCATCACCTTGAAGCCCAGGCCTTCAGCTGACATGACCAATAGCAGTGCTCCTTCCCCCTCCCACAAGGTACAGCGCAGCGTCTCTGCCAACCCCAAGCAGCGGCGCTTCAGCGACCAGGGTAAGTGCTTTGGGGAGTTGCAGGCGGGGGACCCACCCTCTGCTGAGAGGTCACAAGTTCTTGGACTTTGGATGACATAGCTGAGCTTTACTCCCCATTCAGCCGCTTACTAGTAGCGTGACCTTGGGCAGGTCCCTTCCCTCAGCCTCTGAGAGTGGTGTTTGCTGATTGCTGGCAAGACCGCAGGCGAGCAGGCGTGGGGGGGGGCACGCTGTGAGCCCCGTCTTCCCCATTCCCACTGTCACTCTGGCCCAGCAGCTGGTCCTGCCATTCCCACCTCAAATTCCTACTCTAAGAAGACTCAGAGTAACAACGCGGAAAATAAGCGGCCTGAGGAGGACCGGGAGTCAGGGCGGAAGGCCAGCAGCACAGCCAAAGTGCCTGCCAGCCCCCTGCCCGGCCTAGAGAGGAAGAAGACCACCCCTACCCCCTCCACGGTGAGCCACGCTGCCTGGTCGCCTCCTTCCATCCTCCTCCTCCCGCTCCGCCCTTCCTCCCCACCCCCTCGGCCTGTCCTCTCCAGGCAGCTCTTGGTCCAGACCCACTCCCTTTGGCTGCCTACCTGGCCTCTCCTCTGGGCCGCTTTTGCTCACTTAGAAAGCCCAGCCCCTGCAGGAGAAGCAGGCCGCTGTTTGCCGACCCATGCCCGCTCTTGGGGGAAGGTGGAGGGAAAGGGGTGCTGTGACCCGCCAGTGAAACAGGCTCTGTAACAGCCTTGTTCTCTCTTCCCCACAGAACAGCATCCTCTCCACCAGCACAAATCGAAGCAGGAATTCCCCGCTTTTGGAGAGGGCCAGCCTGGGCCAGGCCTCCATCCAGAATGGCAAAGACAGGTGAGCAGGCGGGCCAGGAGCCGCCTCTCACGGCGGTGACCTCTGTCAGTGGCACCACTCCCCTCCCTGCTCCCTGGAGTCCCGTCGCTCTGTCCAGTCCAGCTTTCCACACTCCAGACCTCCTCCCTTCCCCCTCCCCACACCCCTTTCCCTGTGCTCCTGCGACCGCTCCTTGCAGTGGACCCAGTGTGACTCCCTGGTCATCTCATCAGGGCCTGGCAACCCGCTCCTCTGGGCCTCAGTGCTGAGGCTTGTTCCGGGGCCCCAGGCGCAGGGCAGGGCAGAACTGAGGTGCCCACCTGCGGGGTGTGCACATGGAGGTGACCCCAGCTGTGCCCGAGAGCAGAGCCCCCAGCTCCTTGACCATCAGCATCTCTTACTGTGCGTCCCTGGCTCCGCCTCTCCTGAGCCTAATGAAGACTCCCCTGAGCAACCCCTGCTCTTTCTGGAGAGGAAGCAGCCCTGCTTTCAGAATTCCTAGGAGACCAGTGTGGCTGGAGGCAGTTGCCCCCTTGGCTTTCCTGCACTTTGGTTTCCTCCCCAGGCCCTGGACCACCTCGCTTTCCTCACCCTGCCCTTCGCTCCCAGCTCCGCCTTCCTCAGCTCTGACTGGTGTCCCGCTGCTGCTCCTGGGGCTGACCTGCATCCTGCCGCGCTCCCAGCTCTGGCCCTTCCCTCCTGCCCTGGCTTCCTCACCCAGCCTCCCGCCCCACCCACCCCTAACCCAGGCCTCTCCGCTGCTTTTGTCTCCTAGCCTAACCATGCCAGGGTCCCGGGCCTCCACGGCTTCTGCTTCTGCCGCAGTCTCTGCGGCCCGACCCCGCCAGCACCAGAAATCCATGTCGGCCTCCGTGCACCCCAACAAGGCCACTGGGCTGCCCCCCACGGACAGTAACTGTGAGGTGCCGCGGCCCAGGCAAGTGTGCTGGGGCAGCTGGTGCACCTGCTGCCCTACACCTGTCCCACCCCTTGCGTCCAACCGTTTCTTCCCACCTGGTCCTGCTCTGTTCTTGTCATCTTAGCCACAAGAAATGGCTTTGTCCCTTGCAGCCAGGAAGTGGAAGGAACAAAAAATGGCTTAATGCCCCCCTCTTTTCCTGCAGTCTTCCCTCAGAGCAGATATGCCCGAAGCCGTCCCGAGGCTCCAGAAGGAAGCCTTTTGGTTCTGAGCCTCCTGGACTTCCTTAGGACCCAGGAACAGTCAGCATCACAGGGACTCACCCTTGAGGGTTGGTCAACATTGTCCCCTTGAGGTTCCAGCTGCCTAGCTCCCAAGGAGCCACATCTCTCCAGCCTGTACTGCTCTCCACACACGTATCCCTCCTGGCCTCCCTCCCTCCCCCAAACCATTCCTCCCACCTCACCTAGATGTCCTCCTTCCCAGTGTCCTCAGTGGTCACACCCCTCCTCCTGTGTCCTCTGTGATGGCTGCCTCTGCCCCAGCGTCTTCCTTCCCTGCTCCCACCAGGGCTCCAGGTGCTTGGCCGTGATGGCTTCTCGGGCCCTGATGCATTTCCCCACCCCCACCTCTTTTCCCACAGCACAGCCCCCCAGCGTGTCCCTGTCGCCTCCCCCTCCGCCCACAACATCAGCAGCAGTGGAGGAGCCCCAGACCGAACTAATTTCCCCCGGGGTGTATCCAGTCGGAGCACCTTCCATGCTGGGCAGCTCCGGCAGGTGCGGGACCAGCAGAATTTGCCCTACGGTGTAACCCCAGCCTCTCCCTCTGGCAACAGCCAGGGACGGAGGGGGGCCTCCGGGAGCATTTTCAGCAAATTCACCTCCAAGTTTGTACGAAGGTGAGTAGGGGCCTTAAGGTGGCAGAGTGTGAGGCCAGGCCTTCCTGCCTGCCTGGGGTGGGATGGGGGTACCTGGAATTGGGGTTAAAAGAGGCTTCTGGAAGCCTACGAAATTGGTCTTTGTCAGTAACTCAGGTGCCTAGACCCTCCTTGTCCCTCTTAGGTCTCCCCAACTCCTTATACATACACCTCATTCTCTGGCCTGAGCAGATGGCCCATGCTGATGCCGCCTCCTCTCTAGGAGAGTGTGAACTCAGATGCTAAAATAAAAGCCCCCTCTTCTCCTGGGTTCCCATGGAAACTTATATTTGGTGACGCAGCTGCAAAGTCATGAGACCTGAGCCAGGCTGGGCCAGCAAGGAGTTTTTCCTGGTCTCTTGTCTGCCCCCTCTGACCTCCTTTCCCCGAACCCAGTGGTTGGTTGGGTCTCGCTGCAGCCACTCCCTCTGCTACAGCCATGCTCTCCGGCCCCGGGTTGCCAGGATGAAGGCCATAAGTGCAGCAGCTGGTGGGGGCCCAGGGCGGCCTCCTCCCTCGCAGCCTGATGCGCTGATTTTCTTGTGTGGGAACCAGGGTGGGGAGTCTCTTCATGAGGGTTCCCACACCTGGCTCCCCACCACCCCAATGGGACAATTTTGATTCGTGAGGTGCATCCAGCAATCTGGCCTCTTGGGATAGTCCCTGTCTCTATCCCACCCTTCCTCTGCCCCCTCAGTGTAGCTCAGGAAGCAGCCGGAGGCCGGAGAGAGCAGGCGGCCTGCCCTTCCTCCTGCTTCAGCCCGCTCAGCTGGAATAGACAGAGAAACCATGCCCCTGGCCAGCCCTGGAATTCAGGTGCAGGGCTGCAGGTGGGCGCGAGCAGATCCCGTGCCTGGGACTCTAGTCTCGCTGAGCGGCTCTTCCACAGACGGGGTGACCCTTGAACCTGTAAAGTCCACCCCTACCTGCTTATCCACATACCGTCTTGTTGTTTTTGTTTTTTTATTTCTTTTTTTATTTTGTCTTTTTTTGTTTGTTTTTTTAGAAATCTGTCTTTCAGGTTTGCCAGAAGGTAGGCGTTGAGCCCACTGTGTGTGTGTGTGTCTGTCCTGTGTCCTGTGTCCGTGTCCTCCTCTGTCACTAACTCCCCTTTTCTGGCTCCTGCTCCCCCTCCGTCTGCTAACCACATCTGTGTGGCCCTCTGCCATCTTAAAGGGATGAAGACGGCTCGGGCTGGGCCGCCGCGTGAGGCCACATTTGCCTACTCGGGCAGGTGACTTTGAAGATGCTGGGCCTATCCCCAAGCAAGGGGGTCTTCTCAGGGAATTCTCCCTTTAAGATTGGCTCCTCCCCCACCCCACCTCTGGGTTTTGGTCTTTGGTCTCGAACATGGGGTTTGTGTTCTGGCCCTTCCCCTGTCTGTGCATGCGCTCCCAAGAGGGTCTCCCTGCCGAGGTCGACAGTGCACCTGGGATGGTCTCTTATTCTGGGTCTCCTGGCTTCCCTGTCTCTGTCCCTGCGAACCTCTGGGCTCTGTGACCTTGTGCCCCTGTCCCAGGGGTGGCAGGACTTTGGATGTACCGCAGGGACTCGGGTCCCAGGGCTACAGTCTGCCGCTGCTGGGCCCAAGGAGCCTTTGCCTCACAAATAGGGCACAGCACCCCTCTGGCAGCTCCTGCAGAGCTCGGGCCACCCCCCAGCACACCTGCTGCCTCCAGCAGTATCTGAATGAACCAAACCGCCTCCCTTCTGGGCTGACACAGCCATGGCCTGTGGTTTCCAAAGAGCCAGGAGCTGGGATGTTCTAGAGCCCTGGCAAAACGGGGAGATCCCCCTCCCTCGGGCATCTCCCTTCCTAGGCCGGATCCTGGCTCCGCCCCCACCCCCGGGCCTCCTCATCCTCTCTGGAGGCCTGGGTGGGCCAAATACCAAGGGCCAGGTTTTCCAAGGTTGTCAGCCCGGCCCTGTGCTAGGACACCTGGTAGGCACGTTGGTGCCCCAGCTGACAGAGAAACAGCCGAGACAGGGTCTTCAGGCTTTCCCCTTCCTCCTACCCGACCCCACCCAGCTCTTCACTGCATGGCTGGCTGTTGACTCATGTGGGGGCCAGCCCTGCAGGCGCCTCCACCCACAGGGCAAGAGCCAGGTGTGGCCGGAGAGAGCAGCCAGGCTCCAGGCGCGCAGTGCGCGTGTCTGCATTTGTGTGTCTGATGTCTTTGTGTTCCTTTTACATGTGCTGCTGCTCTCTCTCTCTCTCTCCTCACACCCTGCCCTCCTCTGCAACCCCCAATTTCCCAGCTCCAGGCACCCATCTTCCAGCCCGGAGCTGGAGAAGCCGCTCAGCGGGGCCAGACCTCTCCCCACACCCAAGGTGTCTGCCCGGCCCTGCCCTGCGTCCTCTCTTCCGTATAATCTGATGGCTTGGCAGCCTGGCAGGCAGGGGAGTTATCAAAGAATGGGGGAGGTGGGCTAGTCTGGGGCCCTTCTCCTCCCCACCGGCCCCAGGCACCATCCCTGAGCACATCAAAGCAGTTCCAGAGCTTGGCCCTCTGAGCTCCCAGCCCCTCCCCCCAGAGGCCTGTGGTTCTGAGAAGACCCCTGTACAGCAGCCTGGCCGTGGGCCAGGGCCCTGCCTGCCCGGTGACTGCTGGGTGCGGGTGCCTGCACCTCCACAGCCTCCCTCCCCAGCACACTCCTCTGGGACTGTGGGGAGGGGCGGGCTCCCTGTTGGAAAGGGACGAGCTGCCGGTGTGAGGGGCCGCAGAGCCATGTTGGCCTGCCAGGTGACTGGAAAGCGGCCTCAGGGCTGGGTCCTGCCTGCCCTCGGTGGCACCTCCCTGGACTGCCTCACCTGGGTCTGCGGCGGTGGAAGGAGCGAGAAGTCCCAGCACTAAACTCTCCCTCGCTCTGTTTTTTGAGGAACCTGAATGAACCTGAAAGCAAAGATCGAGTGGAGACTCTCAGGTGAGAGGGCTGGAGCCAGCACCGGCCCCGCCCCGGCCTCCGGGCTTGCCCCGCCTCCCGCTCCTCTCCTCCTGCCACCCCTTCGCCACCCTCTTGAGGCTTCCCTTTTCCTCAGAGAACCCCCAGCGCAGGGCGGGCCCTTCTGCCTCTGGAAGGCGGAGCCCTGCTCACCTGTCTGGGCCTCCGTGCTTCCCGTGTCCAGCCCTGAATTCAGGCTGGAGCGGGCTCCCCGTTCCTCCCTGACCCTCCCCTCTTCAAAGGGGAGCACGACTGTACCCCTGCCCCGCCCACGGCGGCTTCTGCCTGGCTCCTCACCTCTGCCCGGGTGGAGGCCAGGACTGCCCACGCCTCTCGCCCGCCCGCTGCTCTCTGCTCTGCTCTCAGGGTCCCTGGCGCCAGGGTGGTGCCCCGGGTGGGTCCTGGGTCCCCTGACCGGCTCTGCCTCTCCGCAGACCTCACGTGGTGGGCGGTGGTGGCAGCGACAAGGAGAAGGAGGAGTCCCGGGAGGCCAAGCCGCGCTCGCTCCGCTTCACCTGGAGCATGAAGACCACGAGCTCCATGGAGCCCAACGAGATGATGCGGGAGATCCGCAAGGTGCTGGACGCCAACAGCTGCCAGAACGAGCTGCACGAGAAGTACATGCTGCTGTGCATGCACGGCACGCCGGGCCACGAGGACTTCGTGCAGTGGGAGATGGAGGTGTGCAAACTGCCGCGGCTCTCCCTCAACGGGGTGCGGTTTAAGCGGATATCGGGCACCTCCATGGCCTTCAAAAACATTGCCTCCAAAATAGCCAACGAGCTGAAGCTTTAACAGGCTGCCAGGAGTGGGGGGCGACGGAGGCGGGCCGCTGGACTTAGCTGCTGGCCCACCGCTCCGGCCCGCCTGGGCGAGACTGCAGACGGGTGGCGTGTCTCCCCCTGCTGGCACTTCTCCCTCCCGCCCTGCTCAGTTTTTCTTCCATGTTTGTGGGGATGGGAGATGGTTCTTTCCCCCACGTTGACCCCTGCCCAGATGCCGCCCTCCCCCTCTCCCACAGGAGGTAAAGGAAGGGAGGGTGGGGGCAGGGCTCCCCTCGGTACTGCGGTTGCACAGAGTATTTCGCCTAAACCAAGAACTTTTTTATTACCAAAAAGAAAAAAGAAAAAAAAAATCCCAGCGGCCATTTTTCCTCCCTGCCCCATTGGGACAGTCGAGACTGGATCTGTGGGGTTTCCCGGGAGGGTGGCTCAGGGCTGGAACACTCTCAGGCAAGAGTGGTGGAGCTCCCTGTCAGGCCCTCCGCCAGGCCCACTGCGGGCTTCTCCCCTCTCCCCCTCCCCTCCAAGCAAACCACCAGAGGTGGCCTTCCCCTGACCTCAGGCCCCTGGGCTGGAGCCTGGGGGGCCAGGGGCTGGGGTGGGGGTGCTGTGCAGCCCTGAGGTGGGTGGGCTGGCAGCGAGGCGTGGGGCTCCAGCCTCCCCCCACACTGTATCCTCTGCCCCCCTTCCCAGAGCTGGGCATTTCCTTCCACAAGCTGCTGTGGGGACCTTGGTCCCCCACTCAAAAGTCTGTGCCATCTTGTCCCACCCCCTCCCGGGGGAAGAAGGCGGGGCTGACCCTAGGGCTGGGATAGGGGAGGGGACTGCTGGGCAGATGGGCTCCTGGGCCCCAGGGGGCCGCCTGGGCTGGGCGTTCTCCATTATGGGAGAGCCTTTTGTCTGAAAGCGCAGAGCGAAGCCGCTCACTCGCCGCTCTTCTCTCCCCACGGCTCCGTCATTGGCATTAATCTGGGCACCAGCTAGTTCCATAGCAGTGACTTCCCTCACCACTCATCTCTGGCCTTGCCTTTCTTCCTGACACTGTCACCCCTCCTCTCAGGAGACACTGCCCAGAGCCTGCAGGCCACTGGCGGGGGCGGATAGGGCAGCAGGGCCGGCCTCTGCCCTCCACTGGGGGGGGGGCCAGGCCAGGCCACTCCCAGCTTGCTGACCTGTGGCCAGGGTGGGAGTGGCTGGTGGTGGGCGCTTGGCTGGTGGTGGCCGCTGCATCCCTTAATTTATTTCTCTGCTGTTTCTGTTCTTGAGAAATTGGGGGAAGGGGTCCAGCACAGAGGCTGCCCCTACCCTCACCTGAGTTGTACATTTTTTGTGATGGGTTTTATTTTTTATTTTATTATTTTATTATTTTTTTGATTTATGATGACTCCACCCCTACTCATCACCCCCACTCCCAGGCCAGGCTCCTTGGCCATTAAAGCCCTTGGGTCCCAGGAAGGGGCCACGCCAACCTCAGTCCTCCTGCCCCCAAGCCCAGCTTCGGGCTCGGCTCCGACCAAGGGCTCCCTCCTCCCCTCCTCCCCTATGGAACAGCCCTGGTGCTCCGAGGGGCTGGGAGGGCATGGCTTGGCTCCCAAGGGGGGGGATGGTGGCCAGGGGCTCCCAGGCAAGGCGGCCCTCCCCACCCAGCCCCCCACTCCTGCACTTCGTTTCTCCTCTGGATCAAACACGTAATAAAGAGAATGTTTGGAATCTGAGCTACCTCCTTTTTATTCTCCCCACTGGGCAGGGACCCAGTCCCTGTGGGCAAGACGCAGCCTAGCCGCCTTCCTGCAGGAGGATGGATTCCTGTGGGGCGGGGCGCACCCTCCCTACCCTCATGGCAGTCAGGAAGCCCAGGGTCCTTACACCAACAGGGAGAGAGGACTCAGTGAGCTTGGAAGGTTTTATTTCTTTAAAAAACATTGAAAAATAAACCCATGTCTGCATCTGTTCCTTTCTCTAAGCTTTCAGGTGGCGAGTGAAGTGGGCACCCTCAGAGCTCAGCACTTCCCTGGAGGCCTCTTGTGTGGCCAAAGCCGGGAGAGCTGCCCCTTAAGTCTCAGCTGCTGTCGAGCCCCAGGGGACTCTCGGCCCCCTCCCCCCTCCAGCCCCTCCCTACCTCACCCCAGACTTATTGCTAAAAGAAGGGAAGAGGAAGAACCGCCAACAGGCCAAAATGTCCTCCCCCACCCCCCAAGCTACGATCAGGACCCCCTCTACACAAAGGCTAGGGCCAAAAGGCCAAACTCCAGCTGACTAGGAGGCAGCCACTGCGCCCCTCCAGGAAGAGCAGTGCCCTCAGGCCAGCTCAGAGGCCCTGGGCCCTGAGCCCCACCCCGGTTGGGCTGTGGGAGATGGGCCAGCTGCCAGACAGTCAGAACTGCTGGTCTGCCCAAGATGGTCAGCAGCTGTGGGTCTTTGAAAGACCTGGCAAGAGTTCTAGTCCCTTCTGTCGTCAGTGAAGCCAGGGGTGCCCAACACATCCAGCAAAGGTGTTCTGGAGCCTCTGGGTGGAGGGCTTCAGGGCTCAGAGTGAGGGGGCTGGAGGCTCCAGGGGGGCTCCAATCAGGGTGGGTGGGGGCTGAGGGCCAGGGCGGGCACTGTGGCGGGAGGCAGCCACAGCTGGGCGAATAAGAGGTGGTGGGGGCTGGTTGGGGGCCAGCCGGGGCTGGAGGAAGCGGCCCTGCTGGAGTGGGGGCGGCTGGCGAAGCAGGGTAGGAGCCGTGGGCAAAGGTGGCCTCAGCAGTGGGGGCGGCTGGGACAGTGAGGTGGGAGGTGGAGGGGGGGGTGGCGCAGGGGGCACGGGTCGGGGCACAGATGTTGAGACAGATGTAATCTGGACCTGAAAGGAAAGAGAAGAGTGAGAAGCCGGGCGCCGCCACACCCTCAGCCCAACCCAGGGACGTAGGCGGTTCCTCTCCTCTCTTCTCTGAAGGGTTTCTCTCACCCCTTCTCACCTCGTCATCTTCCTCTAGGGCTGGGGCTGGCAAGGGAGCCCCTCTCCTAGCCTCCTCCATGGGGACCGGGGCTCCAGGGGCCCCATCCTGCTCAGCCTCCCATTCCTGCAGCACCTCCTCCAGATTGAAGCGGCGCCGGTAGCTCACAAAAAAGGTCTTCACCTGGGTCAGGGTCTTGTTCCCAATCACCTCTGCAATAGCCCCGAAGTCTTTGCCATACCTGCGGATGGCTGCGAGGGCCAAAGGGTAGCAGAGAGAACACCTTAGAACGAGTTACTTCCTGACCCTTCCCCTCTGCCCAGCTCCTTCGAGGGTGGGGAGAGATTCCGCCCCCCCCCCCTTCCCTCCAAGTCACACCCCACCTTGTACAGCCAGGAGCTGCTCATCTGTGGTCCAGCGGGAGTTGAACTTGGTGTTGGCCTGAAGAGCAAGGAATAGCTCCTTTACACTCAAAAACATAAAAATGGAGGCGCCGCTCTCCAAGCAGCACACCCCTTTCTGCTCCACCTCCAGAGAGGACCCCTTCCTGTCCCCCAACTCAAGAGCAGCCTCACCTCAGGGGGGCGGAGTGGGTCAATGCCGCCCTCCAGGGCTTGGCGGAGGCTGCTATTGGTCTGCTTCATGCTTTGCACCTGGAAGGCCAGGCAATGAAGGGGTATCAAGCTCTCCATGCGGGGGCCTCAGTACCAGCCCTCGCCAGGGCTCCAGCTCTGCACACACCAGTGCCACTTCCCACGAAGCTCTCTGCCACCCACCACTAGCTCCCTCCACCCTCACAGCCGCTCGGCAGGGGCGACGCTGTGCGCCGCTCCTGTTCACAGACCAGTGGGAGAAGAATGCCGTCACCCAGCAGCCCAGGGGGCAAGGCAGGGGCAGAAGCAGGCTCGGCACCGGCACCGTCTCCCTCACACCTCAGCTGCCCAGTCATGACTCCCAGCTGCCGACGGCTCCCTCTGCCCGTCCCTTCTTCTCTCGGGCCCCACCTGACGCTTGAGGGAGATGAGCTGGGAATCGAGGCCTCGAAGCGTGAGGTTGGCAAGGTCTGGGCTTCCTGACACGGCAGTGAGGCCCTCGGGGCTCAGGTACATGCCCTTGGGGGGGCGCCGCCGCGTCCTCAGTGGGTGGTGGCGATACTGCGAGGCCTGGGCCTCCTTCTTCCCGGGGCCGGGCCGGGCATTCAGAGGCCGAGAGGGCAGAGGCTGCCGGAGAAAGGAGAGGACGGTGGTGGCGCAGAGCCCAAGGAGAGGGCGGGCCAGGGGGCCGGCCAGTTCTAGGGCCTCACCTCTCTCTTGGGGTCTCCGGCATCTGGCTCCCCCTCACTCACAGCTCCTCGTCCCTCTTCGAGCTCATCACTGCTGACACAGGGCGAGAGAAAGAGTGAGGCAGGGGCAGGGCCCCCAGGGGCTCCGCTTGGTCCCTCCCACACCCTGGCTCGCCCCTGGGCCCCACCTCTCTTCTTTGTCCTTTCGGCCCCCCAGCCGCCGAGCCTGTCTGTCCATCACGCTGGTCCGGCTCCGGGTCTTCTTCCAAGAGTAGTAATACTTCACCAGGCTGGGGATCAGCTTGTCGGGCAGCTGGAGGGGCAACGCCAGAGGCTGGGGCCACCGAGTGCGGGCCCCGGGCAGGCGCATCAGAAAGGAGGGGCTGAGGAGCGGTGGCGGGGGTGGAGGGCTTTACCATCTGCTGGATCCGCTGGAAGCACTTGCCGTGGAAGCCAAAGGCCTGTTCAAACAGCACCTTGTCCTCCACGGTCCACTCGTCGGGGAACGGGGTGAAGTTGGCCAGGTCGGCCAGTGACTTCTCCACGTCGTGCTTATGCCACAGGAGCATGCCCAGTGCCTGGCCGGGGGGAGGGCACAACTCAGTCTGAGCCACCCCGGCACTGTCCGGTCCCCACCCACACCCCGGTGGGGCCAAGGCTCACCTGCTCAATGTTGTAGCCATGCTTCTCCTTGGCCATTGCAATGTACTTGTCAACTGTGGGAGGGTGGGGCCGGATCTTGGATGAAAGATTACAACTCCTACTCCTGCCCTCCCCCCCCCCACACACACACACAGGGGTCCGCCTCCAAGCCTGAGCCCCAGGGCAGGGGTTGAACCCACACCTCAGCCTCCAGCCCACTTCTGGGGCAGACTGGCATGAACCCAGGCTCCCACCCACTCACGCTTGGCATCCGACACACAGTGGTTGGGCGACCACACGAGCATCCCCTTCAGCTCCTTGTTGCTGTAGCGTGCGGGGCTCTCTGAAAGGCAGAGGCGGAGGGGAGACACTCAGCAGCCTCCTGCGCTGGCCTGGACGCATGGCCAGAGGGCGGCAGAGCAGTGGGGCCTGCGAGGTGAGGCCCAGAAAGGAGGAGGGGCAGAGACCCAGACAGGAAGGCAGAGCAGGAAAACTAGCCATGCCATGGGGCCACCCACCCCCGCCTGCCCGCCTGGCTGTCCTTCCAGTGGGCGCCAGCCAAGGGCTCCCCCTAGGTGGGGCTCAGGGCCAAGCCCTGGGCCCTGGGCGCCCCTCCCTGTGCAGCCTGCCCTGCCACTCACCAGGCTTGCACTCGGGGATTACAGCCTGGTAATTGGTTCCAACGCGGATCATGCTGTCTGTGGAGCCAGGAGGAGGCAGTCAGGGCTCCAGGGAGGGCGGGAGGATGTGGCGGGGGAGGTGGCCTGGAGTTCCTCCTGAGTACCCAGGGCCCCCACCTTCCAGGAGGCTCACTCTCCCCTCATCTTCCCCCTGTTACCCTCGGCCATACAAGGAACTGGAATAGGAAGAGACCCTGCCTAGTCATAGCCTATGAGGGCCTGGGGGCTCAGGGGAGGACGGAGGACAAGGGGCCAGTTTTAGAGCCCAGACCAGGCAGAGCCCTTTGTTCTGGCGGGGGGTGGGGGGCGGTTGGAGGGCTGCCCCTAGACCTGGACCACAGCCCTGCAGGAATCCAAGGCTCCTCCCCACCACATGAGCTTCCCAGCTTGGTGTGGTGTCTTCCCAGACCCTGCCCGGCCAGACCTCAGTCCCCTGCAAGGTGGCCAGGTATGAGGGGCCCAGCCTGTGGGTGGGAGGGTGAGGGACGCCCAGTCCCTCAGGGCGCGGGCGGGCAGCTAGGGGCCCAGCCCCCAGATTCCGTGCCGGCAGCCCCAGGCTTCGGGGAGAAGCACGGCACCGGCTCCAGCCAAGGGGGGCAGGAACCATCAGTGTAACGCGCCAGTGGCCGGCCACTCTCCCCTCCCCGCCCCGCCCCCCACTCCGAGTCTGCGGGGGGCGGGGGGGGCCTTTAACCCTGGGCCGCGGGGCTCACCGTGCGAGTGCTCCTCCTCGCTGCTGTCATCCTCCGAGGGAGGCTGTCCGCCGTTGGGCGCCGTCTTGGCCCGGCTGCGGGACAGGATCCCGGAGCCCGCGCTCGGCTTCTCCATCACCGAGGGCATCACCCCGCCCAGCTGCCCCGGGGGGCGCGGGAGCCTTCGGAGAGCGACCGGGGGTTGCCGCGCTCGCCTCGAGTGCCGTGCCCGGCCCGGCCTGGAGAGGTCGCCACTGAGGCTGCGAGAGGCAGGAGGTCGGCGTGGCTGGGGTCCGGCGAGGCGGGAGCCCAGCGGGCAGCCCCGCGCTCTCCGCGACCCCCACGGGCGAGGGCGTCGGAAAAGTTTGTGTAGAAGTGGGGTGCGCAGGGGGACGAGCGCAAGATCCGGTGCGGCTGCGGGGCGCGCTCGCTCTGTGCGCTCCCCGGGACGGGGGCTCCCCCGGGGGAAGTGAGGGCGCCCTGCCCTCGGGGCGCCCCGAGCCCCACCGCCCTCCTACCCACGCAGTTCCGCGAGCGGGCACGGCAGCGCCACTGGCGCCCCCCGCGGGCTCCGTGTCTCTCGGGTGCACCGGGATGCCACCGTCCCCGGGCGGGCACCCCTGTCCCGGCCAGACCCCTGCCGGCGACCGCAGCCGGCGGGCGGTGGAGGCGGCGGCGGGGCGGCGGGCGGCGCGGGGGCAGAGTTGCGGGCGCGGGCGGAGCGCAGCCGCGGGCGCCGCCTCGCACGCTCCCAGCGCTCGCTCTCCCTCTCCCGGCGCTCGGGCTGCTGCCGCCCGTCCGCCCGCCCGCCCGCCCGCTCTCCGCCGCCGCTCGCTCCTCGCGCACACAATGAAGCTGCTGGCAGGGAAGTAGTGCCGGCTGCGGCCTCAGCACCCCTCCCCCAGCCGATGCCTCCGCCAGCTGAACATCTGGCCCTGGGGTGGGAGGGAGGGCCCGGGGGCGGGGCCGGGCCGGGGCTAGACCTCCAGGGGGTGGGGTCAGGGCCGCGGTGGAGAGCGCTTCCCTCCGCGGGCCCCCGGGGCTCTCAGGCTGGCCCCGCGGGGAGACCTCGCTGTCCCCCCAGCAGTAGCCGGGGGTCATCCCCACCCACGCGCACACCAGTCCCACCCACCAGTGGGCTCGGTCGGCTGCCGCCTGCCCCGGGGGCCCGGAGGCCGCCGGCCTGCCCGCCCGGGTGGAGCCCAGCTTTTCCTTCATTTCCCTTCCTGCCAAGGAACTCCCCGCCCCCCTTCCGCAGGGGGGACCCCCCCTCTTCAGGCGCCCTTGGGGGCCAGAACGGATGGGAGGCCGGACAGGCCAGGAATGAATTCCTCCAAGAGCTACTCGGCCAAACCTAGCTTCTGGTGCATCTGTGGGTCCCCAGGGGTCACCCCGATTCCCTTCATTGCTGCAGTGTACACCCCCAAACGGCCTACGGGGCTGGGGGACAGGCAGTGAGAGGTGCAGGGAGAGGCCTGGCCTGCGGGAGAGGGGGAGCCGGGTCTCCTCCCCACTGGGTGCCCTGTCACCCCCGCGGGGAGCGGCAGCCCCTTCCCCCCGGACAAGCTCGGGCAGAGTGACAGGCCGGGCAGCGGGCAGAGCGGCGCAGACGGCGGCGGGGTGGGGTGGGGGTGGGGGTGGGCAGGGAGTTTCAAAGCCAGACCCAGCCACCCTGCCAGGCACACAAAGAGCCAGCGCGCACCCCGGCGGCGGCTCGGAGCCCGCGAGCCGTGCGGGCCCGGTCCCCGCAGCCCCGGCACGTGCGGCCGCGCACACGGGCCCCAGCCCCCACCCGCCGCCCCTCCCAGCCCGGCCCCGGCCCCGGGACACACCGCCACCGGGCACACCCCGCGGTGCCCGGGCGAGCCGAGCCGGCACTCGCACCCTCGGCTCCCTCACTGCCCGGCCGCTCTGTAATCAGATTCCTAAATTTAGCCGCAGCCCAGGGCCCAGCCGGGATCCCCGCCCCCACCCCTGCCCGCGGCCAGCGGCCAGGGTCCTGCGGTCGGTTCAGGACCTGGTTGGGGCCTCCCGGTCCTGGGGGCTCCTGCGGGCGGTTGGGCCGAGTCAGCCAGGACTCCACCCGGCTGTGGCACAGTGGGCCACATGGGGCCACCCTGGGGCCACCCAGCCCGCGGCCACGTTGCCCGCCACACCTCCAGCCAGAGCTACGGGGCCTTTTTCCTCCGCTTAAGTCACGGATTGGGCACCCAGCCCCAGGGTGCGGAGGTCTGGACAAAGGAGGGGAATGAATGGGCCCAGGGCAGACCCGACCGAGGGGTCTGCAACGCGAGGAAAAGAGCCTCCATCCAGCCTGACCCTTCCCGAGCGGCAGGGTCCGCCCCGCCCCCAGCACCTCCAGGCTTCACAAGGCTGTCATCTCTGTCCCCTCCGGCCTGGCGGGCAGCCATCGCTGCACACAGCCCTCTCCTAGGATGGAGTCTTCCATCTTGCCCACACCGGAACCCCGTTAGGCAGGGCCTCAGTTGGGTTCCCCATCCCCCACCCTGGCCTCCTCTTTCTACCCAGACCTGGTCCTGGGCCCAGCCCCGCGCCCCAGGCCTCAGCATCAGGCATATTCTGACCCCTCCTCCAGGGCTGCCCGGTACCCCCAGCCCCTGGCATCCTTCCTGCCCAGCGTCCCCCACCACGCACACGTGTACGCATAAGAACCTAATTCTGTTCTCCCATCTCCCTAGAGCCTGGAGCTCAAGGCGGAGATTCTGCTAGGGAGGTGGGGGCAGGGAGGGGAGGTTTATTCCTTGGGGTTGGAGGGGGAGTGCCCAGGCCCTGGTGTGATGATGCTTTTGCCTACAAAGGGGGACACAATAAGGGAGGGATTTTCCTAGGAATTTGGGGGTGACTGTAGGGGCCACAGTATCCAGACAGGAGGGGCATCCCAGTGAGAAAACGCTCCCCAAGGGCAATGGCGGCTGGGTGAGAAGGGGGAGGGGCAAGGCCCCACCCTCCCACCTGCTGCAGCTGCCCCCTCCCCAGCTGGCCCCCTCTTTTGTGCAAAGCCACACAAAGGACAAGGGGCCCCGGTCGGCCTGGCCATCTGCTCCCAGCAGCCTGAAGGCTCTTAAAGAGACAGCACCCCCTCCCTGCCGCCCTGGGGCTGTGGGGCCGAAGGGAGTCGGCTGCTCTGAGGGACCTGGTCTCCGTCGTGGAGGGACCAAATCCCACACACTCTGCCTGGCGCCCCAGCCCCGAGGTCGGGCATCACGCTCCCCCAGGCGAGGGCGCAGAGGTGCCACGTGGCCAGGCAGGGACCAGGGGTGCGGGAGGGAGAGGAGAGGCAGCCGGGGAACCAGACCCTCCGCCCCTACAGCTTAGGCAGCGGAGGGGCCAGCACAGCTCCAAAACGGGGACCGAGAACTGGGGTCCCTTCCCTCCCTGAGGCCATCTCTGGGCTTGGTGAGACCGCTCCCCGTTCTGCCGCCATTCTCCCGGAGCGGAGGGCTCCCCTCGCCCTTCCTGGGGAGGAGGACAGGGCCTCCTTCCTGGGGGCTGCAGGCCTCCTCGCCGCTGTGCAGCAACCCCGAGATCCGGGCACATTTATTTCCTGCCTTTTCCCGTGGAGGAAACTGAGGTCGCTCCGCCCCCACCCAGGCCTCCTAAAGCCTTGGCCGTGTCTGAGCCGCCTCCCGCCCTGGGCCGGGATGAGGCTCCTCACCCCCGAGATCCCCAGGGAAACCAGACCAAATCCCTTTGTCACTCGGCTAGGGACACACGTTTACATTATTTGTGTGACTGTTTATATCTTGTCTGTCTCCTCGCTGGGCTGTAGGCAGGGGCTGTCCACCGTGCTCCTTGCTGCGAAGTTCTCAGGGCCTGGCACGGAGCAGGCACTAGGTATTTGCTGAAGAATAAACGCCAGGAGCCCCAAAAGCCTTCCTCTTCCGGGGGCTCCTTTGTCGCCTGCCTGTTAGGCACCTTGCCTCCTCCCTCCTCAAGGTGAGGCAGAAGGGACAAGAGTTGAACAGGGATGCTGGGAGAGGGAAGGAGGGTGACCTTGAATGAGCCACCCAGCCACCGACCTCCCCTCACTGCTCCCTCCTCCCAAAGGCGGGGCAGCGCCAGCCAATCCTGAACTCACATCCCTGCCAGACAGACTGGGACTGTCCCGAGCTCTGGCCGCTGCGGTGTGGTGCCTGGGACCCCCGCCAGGCCCTCCCTGGCCACAGCCAAGGGTCTAAGCTTGGGGAGGGAGCAGCAGGCAGGCAGGCAGGCAGGCAGCCCTGGGTGGGGGAGGGAGGGTGGCAGGATCTAAGCAAAAACCTGGCTGAGCCGTAGGAGGAGCTGGGAGGAGGTGCTCCCTGGACTGGAAGCCTGGGGAGAAGTGAAGCGGGGACGGAGGAGGTGGGCTCCATTGGGAAGGAGCTTGGGGAGCTCCCTCCAGGCCCCCCCACTCTCAGTCCTGCCCAGACAGGAATGCATTGATTCCTCCCTTCTCCACCCCCCCGCCCCCCTCCCCGCAGCCCACTGGCAGGCTGTGTGGCCCAGGGCACTGCCCCCCCCCCCGCCCCTCTCTGGGCCCAGGTGGTAACCTGGACTGGCCCACACTCCCACCCAGGGCTGTGCAGGGGCCTGACAGAGGGTGACGGAGGTGACAATCGGGTGCTGGTGCGGCCTCAGCACTGCGGCTGCGTGAGAACCTGGCTGAGGGGCGAGGCAGGCACATCTGTGAGTGGAGCTGGGGAGGGCAGGGCAGAGCCCGGAGGCGGTAAGCAAGGGGACCCCAGGCTTCCTGGCACCCACCCCGGGGAACCTGACTCCCTGGGCAAAGCAGGGCCTGGGAAGGGAGGGTCAGCAAGACCTTAGCTGAGGTAGATGCGAGGAGGTGAGGGGGGTCCCTGGACCCATGAGGGGGCAGTTTCCAGATCCAGGAGCCCAGGCTGTTTTTCCGGAAGCCAGGAAGGGGACCGCCCCTCGCCCTCACCTGGGCAACTGTGGGCGCCCTCTGGCGGTGACAGTGTGAACCCAGGGGTCCCGCCTCAGCCTGGGCTCAGGGTGCTGAGCCCGGCATTCTCCCAGGGCCGGTGCATGGGATCCAGGTCCCCTGGGCCATTTGGAGTTACTGAGCTTTAGATCCAAGTTCCCGCAAATTTCCCTGGTCCAGAACCACCTAGAACCTGCCAGAATAAAGTCAGGTGGAGTATAAGCCCCCAGTGAAGTGGCAGAGGAGACAGAAACAGCAGGAAGAATGCAGGCATAGAGCCGGCCAAGATCTCAGACCTTGTTTCTCGCTTGCTGTGTGGTCTGAGGTGAGTGACTTGGCCTCTCTGAACTTCGGTCCCTCCATCTCTCAAAGGGAACAATAATCCCGACCTCATCTGATTGTTGGGAGGATCCAGCATCGTCTTAGCTGGAATGTGATTAGAGCCTCCGGGATACCGGTCTCCTTCTGAAGCAGGGGTCCCCACTGAGCACCCCAGCAGGGCTGGAAGCCCCTTTCCTGTTGTGCCAGGCAGCCAGGCTCTGTGGGCCAGCGAAGGCCATGGCCGCCTGGGACTCGGGGCTGACCTTTGGAGCTAATAGCTCTTCCTCTGTGACATCTGACACTTGACATCCTCCCTTCAGATGTGTCCACTCCTCCAGATTCCTGCCTCCAGCTTGCTCTCTCCGTCCAAGGACACGTAGCTGGATACCATCCTTAGCCGCTGCTCTGCTCGCGCCCCGCTCCTGCTCAGGGACGCCCATGGCTCCCCGTGGAGCTTCTCTCCCAGGTCAGTCCTCAAGGGCTTCCCAGCCTGTTTCCGATCCGGCCAAACAGGTGTGCTCGCCATCTGCTGAGCCCCGCCTGTGCCCGGAGGCCCCATCCTCCTGCCAGCCCTGGCCTGACCCACCTACTTGCATTCCCCCGCCCAGCCTGGCCCTGGGACTGCTGGCTCCTCAGACAAGCCGTGCCCTAACGGGCACATCCAGGGCTCCTGGGCTGGCACGGAGCATCCTTCCTGCTCCCCTCAGCTCCTCCTGCACCCCACCCCCACCCACCGGCTGCGTGGCTCTTTGCACATGACCTTGCCTCCCACTTCCAGAGAGAATTGAGGCCATCTGGCCGGAAGCCCTCCGAGGCCTGCCCCACACCCAGCACCCGCTCCGCCCCTCTCACCTCCAGGTGTAGCTGTGCCTTCCGCCTCCATGGCCAGCCTCGTTCCCAGGCTGCACACTCCACACACACACACTCCACCCCCACACACACACTCACACACACACACACACACTCACACTCCACCCCCCCCCACACACACACTCACACACACACACACACACTCACACACACACACTCCACCCCCCCCACACACACACACTCCACCCCCCACACACACACTCACACACACACACACACACACTCCACCCCCCACACACACACACACTCCACCCCCACACACACACACACTCCACCCCTCCCCACACACACATACATACACACATACACACTCCACCCCCCACACACACACTCCACCCCCACACACACATACACCCCCACACACACACTCACACACACACATACACACACACACACTCCACCCCCCCACTCACACATACACCCCCACACACACACTCACACACACACACTCCACCCCACACACACACACACACTCCACCCCCACACACACACACACTCCACCCCTCCCCACACACACATACATACACACATACACACTCCACCCCCCCACACACACTCCACCCCCACACACACACATACACCCCCCCCACACACACTCACACACACACATACACACACACACACTCCACCCCCCCACTCACACATACACCCCCACACACACATACACCCCACACACACATACACACACATACACACACACACACTCCACCCCTCCCCACACACACATACATACACACATACACACTCCACCCCACACACACACACACACTCCACCCCCACACACACACTCACACTCCACCCCCCACACACACACTCACACACACACACTCCACCCCCCCCACACACACATACATACACACATACACACTCCACCCCCCACACACACACACTCACACACACACACTCCACCCCTCCCCACACACACATACATACACACATACACACTCCACCCCCACACACACACTCACACTCCACCCCCACACACACACTCACACACACACACTCCACCCACACACACACACACACACACATACACACACACACACTCCACCCCCCCACTCACACATACACCCCCACACACACATACACACACATACACACACACACACTCCACCCCTCCCCACACACACATACATACACACATACACACTCCACCCCACACACACACACACACTCCACCCCCACACACACACTCACACTCCACCCCCACACACACACTCACACACACACACTCACACACACACTCACACACACACACACTCACACACACACACACTCCACCCCACACACACACTCACACACACACATACACACACACACACTCCACCCCTCCCCACACACACACACACACTCCACCCCCACACACACACTCACACTCCACCCCCACACACACACTCACACACACACACTCACACACACACACTCACACACACACACACTCCACCCCCACACACACACTCTCACACACACTCTCACACTCACACACACACACACTCACACACACACATACACACATACACACTCCACCCCACACACACACTCACACACACACTCTCACACTCACACACACACTCCACCCCCTCCACACAGTCACACACACACACACACTCTCACACACACACTCCACACACACTCACACACACACACTCCACACATACACACTCACACACACACACTCACACACACACACACTCACACACACACACACTCTCACACACACACACTCACACACACACACACTCACACACACACACACTCTCACACACACACACTCACACACACACACACTCTCACACACACACTCCACACACACTCACACACACACACTCCACACATACACACTCACACACACACACTCACACACATACACACTCACACACACACACTCACACACACACACACTCACACACACACACTCCACACATACACACTCACACACACACACTCACACACACACACACTCACACACACACACTCACACACATACACACTCACACACACACACTCACACACACACACACTCACACACACACACTCCACACATACACACTCACACACACACACTCACACACATACACACTCACACACACACACTCACACACACACACACTCACACACACACACTCCACACATACACACTCACACACTCACACACACACTCCACACACACTCACACACACACTCACACACACACACACACACACACTCCACCCCTCCCCACACACACATACATACACACATACACACTCCACCCCCCACACACACACTCCACCCCCACACACACACATACACCCCCACACACACACTCACACACACACTCTCACACTCACACACACACTCCACCCCCTCCACACAGTCACACACACACACACACACTCACACACACACACACTCTCACACACACACTCCACACACACTCACACACACACACTCCACACATACACACTCACACACTCACACACACACTCCACACACACTCACACACACACTCACACACACACACACACACACTCCACCCCCCCACACACACACACACACAGTTCCACGATCATCGTTAAGGACCCCGTCAGCTGAAGCTACAGCTGCCTTTTCCTTCGTTGAGCTGAGCTTCTTCAAAGAGTTGCTCCCACCCTCCATCCTTGAGCTCACCTCCCACTCACGCCCCAACCCCGGCAGTGCCGCCTCACCCTCTGCCACTCCACACAGACTGTTCTTGCCAAGGTCCCCGCGGCTGCTGTCTGTCAGCCCCAAGGACACTCGGCAGTCCTGGTCTCACCCGCCTCTGGACAGCAGCTCCCCTGGCTGCCCGCCTGGCTGCCTCCAAACCCTACTGTTGGTCTTTCACGCCCACCCCAGGCTGTGGGCACTCCAATCGCCCACCCCAGGCTCCGGACCCCCATATCCAACCGACTGCCTTCTGTCCATCTGAGCTTGGTTCTCTCTCAGACCCCTCA